TTATACCATATGTATTATATATTTATATTATTACAATAATTATAGAAATACTTAAATTAAATCTTCAAATATTTAATATGTATACATGATAATAATAAAATGTTCTACCATACATAAAAACATATACACCTTATATAATAACTATTAAATTTTTGTAGTAAGAATTTTTTTATGCTCCTACAATACTCGCTTATTAAAAGCTCTTCTTTTCTTAATGCGTTAAATGCAATGTTATCATAACACATTTATTTTTATTTAAATATTCTCTATTTATTCAATAACGTAATATTATTACAATTGATATACATTTATATATACATATATACAAACATATTATATAGGGTTCGATTATTTTAACAGGCAATCGTGAAAAATGCTTTCTTGGAAAATGATTCTAATAAACATATTATTCCAGAAATGCTATTATATAACTTAATAGTGTACATATTATATGTGTATAAATGTATAAAATTTTATGCATCATTTAATTCAAATAACGTGTGAAATTTTTCACTCTTCAATAAAATTTGAATTGTTTTTTTTGGAAATTCAACTTTTTTTTGGAAAAAATATCTTATATATCTACCTTAGAGAATGCGTCTAAAGTATAATGAACTTATGACTATTCAAGCAAATCATCTTTTTAAAAGCCATATAAGATTCATTTTGAATATTAAATTACATAACATAAAATAATTCGTTTGGTTTTTTAAGTTAAGAATAAACGAATTACCCTTTTAGTTTTCCGCCATATTATATCTATATATATATGTCTATATAATATAACATTTGAATCTAAAATATTAAAATTGTTTTCTTTTAATATTAATTTAATAAAATTTTATCGAAATTCACTTATTTCAAGCTTAAATATTTTTATTATATTAAATAATATTCAATATTTTTAAAGGACAAGGAATTGGAAAATTATATGTAAAATTGTGTACCTATATATAGCGTAGAATTTAGTAAAGGAAAATGGGATATATCGTATATATAACCAAGTATTTATATAATCTATGAAATTGTATTTCCATGTATAACTCAATAAATTAATTCAATTTTTTAATTCATTCTCATCAATAGCATAATTCTCTTTAGTCGATTTATTGTTTCAAATAGATATATGTATATATAGTCTAAAAAAGCAAAGGTAAATCATAATACAAGGTTTGTTGAAAATGTTCAACATTATTTTTTAAAATTATTTTTCATATAGCGCCACATAGAACCCTCTAGTCTATAGAGTATCAACACACCATTGAAATTCACGTCTCATATAGAAAAAAAATATCGTAATCGAACGTTCTCATTCGAATATATTATGTTGTATAAAATTAATTTCAGAATTTTAAATTTAATTTCAACATTATACTAAAATCACCCTTTTCACTATATAAAATCAAAAAATTTGAAATTTTTTTGTAATACGATCACATTTGACGACTCAGTTTAAAATGTTGTCAAACCACTAATATAAATAACTTATGATATTTTGGAAAAAAATTTTCAATTATCTACTGTAAAGATACAGAAGTAAATAATATCCGTATAAATTATATTTCTGTTTCTTAATCCAAATTCTTATTAAATAAAGAAAGTAAGGGCTGTTATTCAGAAGTAATATTACATTTGCCGAGACGCTATAATTCAAAAATTACAAGACAAGTTAAATTGCAGCAACATTTTTATTTTGTATGTTAATGCTACAACTATAGACAACTCGTAATTATTAGTTTAGATATGTTGACTTCTAAATATACAAAATTTAGCAATAACAAATAATTTATCATGAAGATTATTATTTTTAAGCTTTGATATTGGTCGCAGATGAAAGAGCATTCGATTTTATGACGCTTAGGTTAATTATCTAAAAATATAAAATTTTCGAGTTATCTAGCTGTCGGATTAACCTCATGATTATATTATTGTGCACTCTACTTTCACAACACATAACGTACAATGGTTGATTAAAATTTTATTACATTGATTCTATTTGAATATTGAATACATATCTTAAACTAATAGTTCAGTAGTTCTAATTTTAAGCCTCATTTAATTTTTCAAAAAAATTATCTTAAACAATATTTAATAACTATAATATTAGCCTTGAGTTCTATAAAATAGAAAATGTTATATAGACAGTTTTAAATACAATTTATAGTATAGAATATTATAGAATTCGGGAATTTCATATTTCAGTTTAATTGAATTTATAAACTGTACTACTACATTATTGAATTCAATTAAATTTTTTTCTCGAAAGTCATTCACTTTTCAGCAACTTTTCTCATCATTACAAAAATCGAATACGAAAAATTCATTGTCTGCAAAAGAAAATTAAATTGAATATTAGAATTAAAAGAAACATTAGAATTATAACACTGACTTCAAAACTGCATTATTATGGTATTTAATTGAATTATAAAGCAATACAAGATATCTGCAATTTTGAAGTCAAAATAAAATCTATGCATTTCATTAATAATTTTTCTTACCTGTTGAAATGTTTTCAAATTAATTGGTGCCAATCCGGCTATTATTTCACATTCATTTTGTGTTAGTGTCATAAATAAAAGTATCGTTTTTTTATATATTCGATTTTGATATATCCAATCAGTTGAATACAATATTTCAGTTATAGTATTACTTTCTGTTTTCAATTTTTCAGCAAAAAAACAAACTAAAAATATTTTATTAATTAATGCTAGAGCAAATAAAGATAAATATATTCCATTTATAATATTTTTTTCAGCATAAATCGTATAAATTTCAACACCAGTTAATGCAAAACCACTTATTATAAATTGAATGATCATTTGCCTTGAGACTACTTCCTTTAAAACATTGAATGCTCTATACATAAACAAAATAAAGAAAAATTCAAAATAATAATTTTCACAATTTGAAATAGTTTAATAATAGTTCGGAATTATTTAATTATATATTTTTAAAATGAATTTGCTGATTGCTGAACTTGGACAAATAAAGTGGTAAGTGATATTTTTAGAATTTTCTGAAAAATAAGATTTAATATTTTTTTAAATAAAATTCTCAATTTATATAACATTTTTTTTGTTACTGAAAAGAGATATGGGCAAAAGAACTTCCTCCCTGCGACCACCGCATCCAACTATGGCTTATTGCGACCCTCTCATATCGCACTTATACTACGCTGGCCCTAAGCAAATACCCGGAGATATTCCTCAGGGATAATGTATACAACATAATTTAACTTCTTCGAATATGTATAAAAATTCATATTTACAAAAATATCACTTATCACCATTCTCATCGAAACTTTTCAGTTAATATATACGAGCTGTAAGATTTTACTCATATACACATACTCACTTTAACCATTCCTGATGACATTTTATGCATTCAATTAAATTTTTTAAATTATCCATTTCATTTTTTTGTAAATTTTTTCCAACTCTTTCGATTCTCATTAAAATAACATGTAAATGTCCAGTTATTAAAAATAAATATAATGCAGAAAATGAATCATTTGCAACATTTGTAATCATTTGAAATAATAATGAAATTGTTTGGTATGCATGTGTTATATAAAATAATTTTGGAGATGATTTCCAATTATATGGAAACCATCCATTTAACATTTGTTTTTCACAAATATTATGATTAAAAAAAAATATCGTTTCTAAGAGAAACCATACGAAAAATGGTAATGATAAAAATATTTTAAAATATTTATGACATTTTCCAATTATATCATTTATATAATATTTTTCATAATTATTTTGAATTTTCATATCTAAATTTTTTAAAACATTTTCAAATATAATCAATTCATTTTGTAATGTTACAATATTAAGAACTTTTATTGATGTTACAATACAATTTGCACATATCGGTAAAAAACCAAAAATATCTTTTAAACTATCAGCACCAAATAATCCAATTAATAATGATGTATTAAAAAATATTGTTGTAAATAAATTAATTATTATTGCAAATGTATAATAAAGTAATTTTGATTTACTTAATAATGAATAGTTCCCGGTATATTTATAGATTTTCCAAATATCACTAACAGCTTCAATTGAATTAATTGATGACATGATTTCAAAAATATTTTTTACCACTTACTAAATATCTTTGGCAGGAGTCGCAAACTTTTATACTAAATTTCTTATATACATAAACATTATAAAATTTTAATTTTTAAATATGATGCATAAAAGTTGATGATGATTGACAAATTAAACATTATGTTGATATTAGGTCCAACTGTTACAAAAAATAAATATTACGCCGTCTAATTCGAAATAGCAATTATTGTCGTATAGACATTTCGTGGGAATTATTTCATCTGGCACGAGTTTTTAGTTTAAAATATAAATACATAATAGTTTCAAAGTAGGAAAAAGTTACATTTGCAAAATTATTATCAAAAACCTTATAATTACAATCGGTGATAAATTTTAATTTGATTGACAAATTGAAATAGTTTGAATGCTATTTCAAATAATCAACACTTTTATGTATATAGAGATTTTATTAATTACATACTCTTGGGAGTTAATAACAATAATACTTCAGTATATTTAAAATTTTTCAATGCATTGTCATCTAGTAAATTTTGTACAAAAAAAAAAAAAATTTATGATTTTTGAAAAATTCCATCTATAAGCAATTTAATTTGATATTACAATATCTCGGCGATATCAGCACAGAAATCTACCAAAATCTACCTTAATTTATCAATAGTTTAATAGCTTAACTTATCGCAAATTGCGATTTCTTATAGCAAGATGAAATATACTTAACCTTTTACCCAGTTTAAAAATTTAAATTTAAAATTTGTTGCTTTTAACAAATTAATTTTAATTGAAATTAAATGAAAATTTACAAATTTTAATAATATATAAAAATTATCCCTTATATTAAACATTTATTTGAAACAATATTTAAAATTTTAATTTAATATTCTATAATTAACGTATCCTACTAAAAGAACCTACTTATTCTGTTACATATTCCAAAATACAATTACTTATATTATATAAGAAGAAACTTATTTGTCACGCAATTCAATTTTGAATTTTATATCTTTTTGGAATTTCATTGAAATATTGTGTATAAATATTAAATCTTCAAATTTTATATCAGCAGTTATTTTATAATTTCTAAATAATTTTGATAAAAATGTTTTCATCACCATGTTTGCATATTTGAAACCTGAAATAAATTGAAAAAATATAAAAATTATTCATTGAGTGTAGTAATATGCGTATGCTATCAGTTAACAAAATCTTAATATATTTAATATGCCATTATACCGTTATTGCAATTGCATAACTTTTAAATTTTCACTCCAGTACCCAATAAATTTAAAAAATATTTCTACTACTTTTTCAATGTCAACAAAATTCAATACGAATATTTTTTAACATATCATCCCAAATATATGCAAATTTTACTTGTATCTACTTACCTATACATTTTCTTTGTCCTTTAGTAAAAGGTACATATGAATATGGATGACGTTTATTCCCTGGAAGAAAATTATCAGGATCAAATGATTTTGCTTTTGGTCCCCAATATTTAGTATTTCTTTGCATACTAAATATATCTAAAATAACATCAGTTCCTTTAGGTATAATAATACCATTTTTCAATTTAATATCTGTTTTTAAATGACGTCCAACAAGGGGAGTCGGTGGTATTATTCTCAATGCTTCATCAATGCACATTTGTAAATAAACTAATTCTTTAAGATTATTTTGATCTAATTTAACATTTTTATTTGGTAAAATTTCTAACAATTCTTCGTATAATTTGTCTTGAATCTCAAGATGTGTTGCTAAGCACATCAATACTACATATATTCCAACAGTAGTTGTTTCATAGCTCTAAAGTTATAATTTTCTATAAATTTTACAATTCATATTTTGATAAATAAAAAAAACATTTATACCGCTATAAGTACAACCACTGCCTCCTCTAGAACATCTGTTCGTGTCATGTTATTACTATCACCGTATGTTAACAAATGTTCAAAAAATGAGCTTGGTGTTTGTAATGTTAAAGTTTCGTCATCTTCAAGATCACCATAATAAGCTAAGTTTTTGTTAAAGTCACCATCTTTTTTACGCAATTCTTCTTGTTTCATATCCAATTTCTAAAATTTTTTCAAAAATTGCGATTTAGCTCATGATTTTGACATTTTAACTAAAAATTTGATTTTACCTTGTTAAAAAACTTGAACATTGACTCCACTTTTTTTACTGTTGTTTTATAAATTCCAGTTTTCTCATACAGAAAATCCATGTACAACCAAGGACTATAAGTTCGATGTATCATGGCATGCATTACACTATTATAATTAATTGTTTCATGCTAAATTATCAAATTATTTACGAATTGTTTTAATTTATTATCAAATTTATATAATTTTACATTTATCTATATAAAATTATAAGAGATAAAACAAAACCATATACTACCTTTCTACTGATAAAAGAATTTCATCGGTTTCATCAATTTTATTTTTACTATAATCGCCTACGAGAGTTTCTGCAAAAGGAAGTAGCATTTCGAATTAATAGAAAATTAATTGAAATTAAAAAAAAATTCATGTATTTACATAAAATGGAGAATGTATAATAGAAAAGAGCAGTTACGAACTCTGATATCCAATTCAAATTTCTAAAAATGTCGATTCCACTATGTGTGCAAATATGCACTTGAACCGAATGCCCGAAAATTAGAGCGCTGTTTAAAAGTTGTACATATTCATAACTAAAAAAATTTTTTTAAAGTATAATGTATTTTTTTTTTCTTACAAGTCCAAACTTTTAAACTTCAACAATAAATAAAGATTTAAACTTCAAGAAGGTATGAAATTAAATAACTTCTACACATTAGTTGAAAATTACTAAAGGCACTCCGTTTTTGCGTTTTTATTTCAATTTTCTTGTGTAATAATAATTGTTTCATAGTATGTAGTAGCTCCTCTAATAGTACTAACACATATAAGTTAAAATTTTCTGTACAATTTAATTGATAATATTTTGCATATTACAGGGTGTTCTGAATATTTGCATATTTTATTCTGCACGTATATCATCCTGTTATCCTTAATATACATAGTCGAATGTATATGCAATAAATTTTTTCTAAGGGTTTAACTAATTCGTCTGTTTCCAATGATAATATTATTAATACTTCACATTATAATATAAATTACTGAAAAAGAATATTGGTTGGAATAAAAATTTGTAATAATATGTGTTTCACTTTACGAAATATAAAGATGTAAAGTGTTTTATTAAAATTTGACCGAAAAAAGAAATAGATCATTTTCTTCCCGCAATTAAAATTTTAAAGGCGAATAAGTGAATTGTTAATATTATAATAATTATATTTATTTGTATACTTACGCAGTGTTATGTTTAAGGTTACATTTTTAAGAATGTTAAAAATTGAAAAATTTTTATTTTCCATGTTTTCGCTAAAAATTTGCAAAAAATAATCTCCTTGTTTGTTGAATTCCGGATAATAACTTTCTAAAACTTTATTTTTAAAGACTGGCTTTATAAATTTTACGCGGTTATTCCATTTTGGAGCTACAAAATATTTATACTATTAATATTGCGTTATAATGAAAGAATTTTTATATACTTACGACTCGAGGTAAATAAGCCATCACCAATATATTTACTCAAAAATTTATAGAAAAAAGTTTTTGTGGTACAATTTTCAGATGTTAGAATTGTTTGCATTGCATCAGGATCACTTATTACTACAAAGCAAATTGAACCAAGCCAACAACAATATGGAGATCCATGTTTACTTTCAAATTCGCTAAAATTTTTCAAAAATGCTATAAAAGAGAAAAGAGCAATATATACGAGTAGATAACCTATTACGTAAATTTATTGTTCATTTTAATTTTGTGAAAATGTCTTATAAATATTAAATGTTTGTAAATTAAATAATAATTGTACACTTTCTGTTTAAATTTTATTACTTTACTGAAATTTACTTTAGAATTTTTATTTATTTGCTATCTAACTGTTATAGCCACAGTTTTCTGATTAATTTTGTATTCAGATATAATTTTTTTGTATTTTACCCCTAAATTATTTTTTGTTTTCGTAATTTACATTCAAATTAATAATTTTAATTTATTATTATATTTCATAATCATTTTATTTAATTTTATTGGCACTAAGCAAAAAAAACTAAATTCGACTAAATTTCTAACATTTAAACTCACATTCAACTTGCATAAATTTTAAAACATTTCCAAGAAATGGTAATCCAAATGGTCCTCCAAGTTTCCAATATAATTTATATTTATTAATATTAGACCACAAATATATTGTAAGTAAACTGATAAAGATTAGTAATAATCTTACTAACATTTTTTATTTAAAATAAATATTTTAAGTCGTAAGCGATATTTATTTTTATATTATTTAAAATTATAATATTCTTAGGCCGGCTTATGTTAAACTGATGTTAAAAATTATCAGCATATTTAATTTATATTGGTAAATTTTTTTTTGAAAAAGCTTTATTTTTTAGACGTGGTAGTAGAATGAAAAATTATTTTGTGAAAATGCATTTTTAATCCTTATTTGTAGTGCTTAGTAAACAGGTTCTTCTAAAAGTTCATTTTTGTGAAAAGTTCATAAGTGCTTTTATTCAAAAAAGCTTGTTGATTAAAATTTCCTATTGCTATTCAGAAAATACACATTGCGGTCAGATATCTTTTAATTTAATTATTTTATTTTTTTTTTAAATGTTCTACTATAAACAATAACAATTAATGAAGGTGAACCAGACTCAAGTTTTCATAATATTGTTTTTGTGTTTCAATATTCTTTTCATTCTTATTTAGTACATGTGTACGAAAAGTATAAAAACCAAAGCAGCAAAAATTTATTTTTTATTATTTTATAAGATTATTGCTTTTCAACTAGTAATAAAGTGGAATACGCGAATTACGCATGATGACCTTAACCAAAATAAATATTTTTTTCTCCGCTAATTATTTCATAACTGGAATATTGCAAAAAACAAATAAACTTAATGTTTAGTTCAATCACCTACTATAATAACAAATGAGCGTCAATAATAAAGTTTTAAATAAATGGTTTCAAAAGTAGCACTTTTCCTTTGAACGAGTTGTATTAATATATCAAAATATATCGAACGATTGCATGCATTTAGGATGACCAGAAGGAGGAGAAAAAAAATAGAAGGAAAAAAAATAGAAGGAGACGTAAACATAATGATTGAATTTGACAGCTATCTATGTGAGCTAAGATAAATATATAATTATATTTTTGATGTCCTGCAGTTTTCCGTTAGCTCTTATAAAAAGAGCTCTTATAAAAATTTGGTGAAACGTGAATTATTGTCGAAAATATAAAGTGCCGAAAATTCAAATTTTTCTAATTTCAGGACTATTGTGATAAGTTGCAAACAAAAACGATATGAAAAATTTTAAGAAAAAAAACAGATAGATAACAGTTAATTTCATAATTTAATAACAACCATTTTATCATTGTAGTGTTTGAGTATAGTGTTTCACTAATGCCATATATGTATCTAGGCCACCAAGCTCAGAGAGCAAATCAAAAATATTTGTGTGAAGGAAATTGATCAATATTTTTAGCTCTACTGATTCTACATATTTTTTTATTTTTTGGCACATACAACCTTTCTTGCCTTCCAAATAGAAGCGTACTGAATTACAGAGTAAAATTAATTCCATATATATATCTATCAAGCCTCCAAAGCTGATACTCAAAAATTTCACAAAAAAAAAAAATATTTCAATCGCCATACTTCGAAAAGAAAAATATTAAGAATTTCAGCTTGGAGGCCTGACAGATATATATGACATTAGTTTTACCATAGGTGCAAATTTTTATTATTAAATTTCATGTTTCTATTTTTCTTATACAATATTTCTAACAATTAGCAATCATTTTAATTTTATGTCCATTTGATTCTAATATATAATTTATATAAATTTAAATTTATTTGTAGACTAATTGTATTTCCAGCATCAAATGTTAATTATATACTTATATGCATTTAATTGTATATATACAATACTAATTATATACAACATATATAATAAGCAATAGTTTATTTTAAAACGTAACGTTATAAATTGCTCTCGAACATAATGATTAGAAAAGTTTCATAAAATTCGGAGTTATTAATTAAAATAACTTTGAATTGCGGAAATATTTTATTTTAATATGTGATTCAAAGATACTAAACTCTTTGAATGTATGTACTTTGTTGTGTAATTGCATATTGTAAAAATTTATTTGTATTGTAATATTTACTGGCAACTTTTTAAATTGAAATTTGCATTTCCTCATCTGTTTCATCCTTTCTCATTTTATTAAGTAATTCTTAATATTACAAAAATCAATTTACCCATTTTCAATGAAATAAAACCTAATTATGCCATATGGAAAATGTATTGGAGAAAATCAGAAAAATTAAATTATTAACTTTTATGTACAGAAAATGTGCCTGTATATTAAATTGAAATTTTAAGATTTTCAAGTAATATAGAATTTTTAATTGTAAGAAATTGTTTTGGAATGGTTGTGAGTTCAAATAACTCATATAATGCATCTACAACTTTCTATTTATTTAAATTTTGGAGTAAGAATTTGATATAGTATCTATAAATTATATAATATATTAGCAAACTTAGACAAACTAATTAAGAATAGCTGTAAATAATAAAGGAAACCAATGGGAGTAAATATTGTACAAAGCGCACCATGTTTCTAATTTTGTTAGATTTGATGTTAAGCTGTTAATAACTTATATTACAATTTTAGAAATTGAATTTGGCTTAAATGGTCCCTAATTTTATTTCTTTATAATAATTTACTGAATACAATAATTTTCGTATAGAGTCCTCAAAATAAATTGTTTTTGCTTAAAATCATATTATACGGTTACACAAGAAATTATTTTAAAACAATTAGCAGAAATAGTTTAGAAAATATTTTCCAATTACTTTTCTGGCAGTAATTTGACGACAATACCTTTAACATATTATTAATTTTATGTATAAGCTAAAAACTAGCTTAGCGTATAGCTTAAGTGTAATATTTTACATTATATAAAGAAGTCCATATTTTGAGTATTATACAACTGTAAGAACTGAAACAGATTTAAAGAAAAAAGCAAATAAAACATATTTAATTATAAAAGTCTTACAACTTTACACTGAAACTTGTATTTGAATAATTTTTGAATTGAAAAAAAAAAAAATCACTCCACTCTTAATTCAATTTTAAATTTCGGATGATTTTTAATTTTTGTTGAAATATCATGAAGAAATATTAATTCATCAAATTTTTTGTCAGCTGTTATTTTATAATTTCTAAATAGTTTGGCTAAAAATGTTTTCACTAACATATTCCCGTATCTAAAACCTAAAATAAAATAAGAAAAAAAAAAATCCATTAATGTTGTTAAATTATTCTCAGCTTCTCCTAATTGTATGCAATTTTAATTTAACCTACCTAAACACATTCTCTGACCTTTAGTAAATGGTATATATGAATATGGATGATATTTATTTCCAATTAAAAAATTATCTGGATTAAATAATTTTGCATTAGGTCCCCAATGTTTTGTACTTCTTTGCATATTAAATATATCTAGAACGACATCAGTCCCTTTCGGTATAATAACACCATTTTTTAATTCAATATCATCTGTAATATGACGTCCAACTAATGGAACTGGTGATAATATTCTTAATGTTTCATCTATACACATTTGTAAATAAACCAAATCTTTAAGATAAGTTTGATCTAATTCAATATTTTTATCAGGCAAATGTATTAATAATTCTTCATATAATTTATCTTGAATATCAGGATGTGTAGCTAAACAAACTATTGCTAAATATGTTGAAACTGCTGTTGTTTCATAACTCTAAATATATTAAATAATTAATTATGCATATATTGGATTTACATAATATATAAATTATTTCTTACAGCAGATAGAACGACAGTAGCTTCTTCTCGAATATCAGAATATGTTAAATTATAATCATCCATATATGCTAATAAATATTCAAAAAAGGAACTAGTTCTTAATAATGGTGCTTCATTATCATCTCCCAAAGTTTTTCTGAAATCCTTATTTTCTAATTGCATTTCATTCATTTTAAGTTCCATTTTCTAAATTAAGCAGAAAGAAATGTTAATATTCAATTTAATAATTTATTAAGTGTTATGGTTTTCTTCAATTTCACCTTATCAAAAATTTCAAAGAGTCTTATCGTATCCTTTTTAAGTTTTTTGTATAATTTTGTCTTTTTGTATACAAAATCCGTATATAACCATGGTTTATAAGTTCTGTGTATTACTGAAGTCATTAAACTGTTAAAAAAAATTTAAAATTATTTTATTTTTTTTATATTATATTTCAAAAGATTTTTTTAGAATTAGTTAAGTGCACTATTTCCTTTAACAATTAAAAAAAAGGAGTTGGAAAGAAAACTTATTGTTCCAGCAGACCTCTAATCTTTTGGGAGGATATCGCTTTAATTGATTGAAGGATCTCTCGGGGCACCCGTTGGTGGTCTGCTGAACTTTGAAAAGGGACTAGAATGGATTTCGCGGACTGTCTTTGAAGGGATTCCGACTTGCACTCGTTAGGCCTAGAGCTGGGTTGCAGCATTAAGGATGCCACCTCCTCTCTCTAAACTATTGTCATCATTCAATTTTAAATATATTTATTTTGTATAATAATTTACCCTTCAATCATAGGAAGAATTTCATCAACTTCATCCAGTTTTGTTTTACTATAATCTCCAATTACAGTTTCTTTAAAATACCAAAAATATTTAAGTAAAAAATAAAACGAATCGGTTATATTTGAAAATTCATATACTTACTTAATGTTGTATTGAAGGTCATAAATTTAAGTGTTTCGAAAATTGAAAATTTATCATTTTTCATATTATCGTCGAAAATTTTCAAAAGATAATCTCCTTGATTATTAAACTCTGAAAAAAAACTTTCCAAAATTTTAAGTTTAAATGACGGTTTCATAAATTTTACACGTGAGTTCCACTTCGGGGCTAAAAAAATATTTTAGAACGCAATATATTGCAAAATATACAAAAATGTTTTGAGTTTTTACTTACGAGCCGAGGTAAATAAACCATCACCAGAGAACTCCCTTAAGAATTTATAAAAAAATGTCTTCTCTATGCAATTCGGAGAAGTAAGAATTGTTTCCAGTGAATCAGGATCATTTACTATTACAAAAGCAATTGGACCTAACCAACATAAATATGGTGACTCATATTTCGTTTCAAATTCACTTAAAGTCTTTAATATATCTTAAAAAATTTAAAAAAAAAAAGGAAACTTTTGTTAGAAATTTTGAATCAAAATTTTTTAATGAATTAATTATGCTCGTACACTTGAAAAATATTGTGTTTTCAAGGGTTAATTTAAATTTTATTTTCTGAAGACAATTATAAGCGAATTCTAGTATATATATGAATTAATCTAGTGACTATTAACTCTTAAAAAGTACTACGAATGTGGTATGACTTTTTGTAAATATTTTTTAACAGAGACAACTTTACAATTTTTAATCTAAATCAAAACAAATTTAATAAAAGGTAAACTTTAAACACTTAGTTAGTTCTCGCAGAATAACGATATTTGAGAAACGCTGCTACAATTTCAGAACCATGAAACGGAGTTTAAATAATGTTATATTTTACATTTTATAGCCAATTGAATTTTTAGACGGTGAATTTTTATAATATTTTCGTTATGGCAATAAAATCAGTTTCCTCTAGAAAACTTCTTCTTTTGTTTTTAAATTATATTATTTGATAAGAACCAAAATAATTCTAATAGCACGCGTTAGATTCTAATTTTATTGTTTATATTTTCATACTTATTTTTTTATTTTTTTACGCAATATTGTATAGACATGATTAAATTCAGAATGTAAACAATTGTTGAATCATTGAAATCACTAATTCTTTTTAATTAAATTAAATTTTTCTTGCTCCTCAGAGTTATCAGTTAATAACCCTTTGCTTATTTGTAAATTTTTATTAGGCACGGGAAGCTTAATAATCTCTTTAATTTACTAGTAATTATTAATTTTTATCGACCGCATTGCACAAAATAATGAAAGTTACATGATGGTACCAAATTTTGAATACTCAGGTTTGGGTGGAGACGCACTTCTCCATAGTAGGCAAGTGTAAATAAACTATTTATAGAGATGTGCCGGCCTGTCAGTGCACGCGAGTATCTCAAGTTCGGATGAACCGATTATAATAACATTTTGTATATGAGTATATTTTGTCATGGATTAAGATATATCAGGCCTCAGAAACTGTACCTTTTTGGTAAACTGAGGGCCGAGTTTACATTTTTTACTATAACTTTGGAATTACTTGACGGAATTTGCTGAATTTAAATATTTCAAAAAATTCCTTCTATCGAAATTAATTAACTAACATTTCAGGAAATTCGGTTGCCACAAGGCAAAGCTCTATTAAGAGCCAAATTAACATTTTTCGAGCAATATTAACTAAAAGCTTACTAATTAGATATTTAAATTAGACAATACACATTGTGGTCGGTCATGCGCTGGCCACATCAGATTTTTTTTCTTGTACATAAAACTACATAAAAATTTAAATAGAAACATTTTTGAAACGTTTAAACTTTTTAACACGATTATTACAGATAAGATTTTAAAATATAAAAAAACAAACCATAACAACATTTTAATTTTTTAATTTGCTGATAATGTGAAAATACTTAGAGAATTTTAATCATAGCGCACCTAAATTTGTATAAAAAGCAATTGTTTTCAAATTATAAAACGTGATATTGCATACTTCTAATATGGCCGGATTTTTAATTGTACCTGGTGAAAATTATTATACCTAGGGAATCACAACCTTATTATAAAGCTATTCAATTTTTCAATTTCAATTTTTCTGATGTTGGAATAATTAATAAGATACGTTCGTTTCTAAAGCAAAAGTTTTCTCAAAAGTGTTCAATTCTTAAATTATAATGTTAATAAATTTAATTTTAAAATAAATTATAAATTTTTTAATCTTATTACACAGTTTGTAATTATACAAAAGCTTAATAAAATCTCTATCAGTATCAGTCTAAATCAGCTAACTGAACTAAATTAAAATTTTTAATTAAATAATAAAAAATAAATAAAAAAATTGTATTTTTTAACTTGTTTTCCGAAAATAAATCGGCAATGTTTAGGTTCTGAAATTTTTTCTTAAAGAAGACCTTTGATAAGAGTTTTCTTTACTGGTTTATTGATTTTAATTTAATTTATAAAATTATATTACAAAATATTATTATATATTAAAAAATCTAATTAAATGCTAATTTGATATTTTAAATATTCAAATTTATTTAAAAAATATTCATATTTTGAAGCTAGCAATTTTGAAGCTAACAATATACGCAATAGCATATATTGATCGCTCTAAAGACACTATTAATTTAAATTTAAATAATAAATTGTTAAAATTCATAAAATTTATATTTACTTTCAACACGCCTAACTTTTAAAATATTTCCAATAAATGGTAATCCAAGTGGTCCGCCAATTTTCCAATGTAACTTGTATTTATTAATATTTGAAGAGAAGTATAAAGTTACAAGGCTAATTAAAATCAATAATATTCCAATAAACATTTTAAATAATAATAATTTTTATTTTAAATTTTAAATGAATCTTTCGAAATCGTTCGCCCACTTTTAATAAACTGAAGATTTAAATTCTTTGACTGTTATTTATATAAACTGTTAAAACGAAGAAGTTTTTGTTTACAATTTTAATCATGTTTTTTATTACAAAACAAAAAATTTGGTTATTTTAATGTGTATATGCGGGATAAGGGAGTAAGAGAACAATATTAGGCAATATAATCAGCTTTGAACTTTAGAATCCCTTTAATAGTGTGTGTGAGTAGAAAATATATTCAGTTTTTCTATACAGATCAGTAATAATTTCAAATTTCATTATATATATTTTAATATGAGGTTGTATTAATTCAAGATCTGAGCTCCTCATATTTTACCTAATTTAATATCGATTTTAGTTTCCGCACATAATATTTATCTTGATTTTAATAAAGAATTTTTTTAGTGTTGATCACGAAAACATTTTACATTTTTTCTCTTATGTTAATTCTGCAAAATTGGCCGTATTCTGTAAAGTATAAAATTGACCGTATATCAATGTAAGATCATATGGGAAAGGTATATTTAAAATATTAAAAATATATTTAATGTTAAAAAACATCTTTGTAATAAATTTATTTCTCACTCTTGTTTTTTTTTAATTTATTTCAAAAACTATTTAACATTTTAATTAACATATCCTACCTAAAGTACCTACTTATTCTGTTACATATTCCAAAATACAATTACTTATATTATATAAAAAGAAACTTATTTGTCACGCAATTCAATTTTGAATTTTATATCTTTTTGGAATTTCATTGAAATATTGTGTATAAATATTAAATCTTCAAATTTTATGTCAGCAGTTATTTTATAATTTCTAAATAATTTTGCTAAAAATGTTTTCATCACCATGTTTGCATATTTGAAACCTGAAATAAATTTAAAAAAATATAAAAATTATTCATTGAGTGTAGTAATATGCGTATGCTATCAGTTAACAAAATCTTAATATATTTAATATGCCATTATACCGTTATTGCAATTGCATAACTTTTAAATTTTCACTCCAGTACCCAATAAATTTAAAAAATATTTCTACTACTTTTTCAATGTCAACAAAATTCAATACGAATATTTTTTAACATATCATCCCAAATATATGCAAATTTTACTTGTATCTACTTACCTATACATTTTCTTTGTCCTTTAGTAAAAGGTACATATGAATATGGATGACGTTTATTCCCTGGTAGAAAATTATCAGGATCAAATGATTTTGCTTTTGGTCCCCAATATTTAGTATTTCTTTGCATACTAAATATATCTAAAATAACATCAGTTCCTTTAGGTATAATAATACCATTTTTCAATTTAATATCTGTTGTTAAATGACGTCCAACAAGTGGAACTGGTGGTATTACTCTTAGTGCTTCATCAATGCACATTTGTAAATAAACTAATTCTTTAAGATTATTTTGATCTAATTTAACATTTTTATTTGGTAAAATTTCTAACAATTCTTCGTATAATTTGTCTTGAATCTCAAGATGTGTTGCTAAGCACATCAATACTACATATGTTCCAACAGCAGTTGTTTCATAGCTCTAAAGTTATAATTTTCTATTAGTTTTGTAATTCATATTTTCTATATAAGAAAAAAATTATACCGCTGCAAGAACAACCACTGCCTCCTCTAGAACATCTGTTCGTGTCATGTTATTACTATCACCGTATGTTAACAAATGTTCAAAAAATGAGCTTGGTGTTTGTAATGCTAAAGTTTCATCATCTTCAAGATCATCATCATAAGCTAATTTTTTCTTAAAGTCACCATCTTTTTTGTGCAATTCTTCTTGTTTCATATCCAATTTCTAAAATATTTTAAAAGATTTCAATTTAGCTCATAGTTTTGACATTTTAACTAAAAATTTGATTTTACCTTGTTGAAAAACTTAAATATTGACTCCACTTTATTTGCTGTTGTTTTATAAATTCCAGTTTTCTCATAAAGAAAATCCATGTACAGCCAAGGACTATAAGTTCGATGTATCATGGCATGCATTACACTATTATAATTAATTGTTTAATTGTTTATTTTATTATATGTTCCCCGATTGTTTTTGTAAAAGCATTTTATTATATTTACATATATATTTACATAAAATTACAATTATCAACATAATATTCAAAAAAATGAAATAAGAACATATACTACCTTTCCACAGATGAGAGAATTTCATCAGCTTCATCAATTTTGTTTTTGCTGTAATCTCCTATGACCGTTTCTGTAAAAGAAAGTTTCATATATTGCAATTTCATGAGATATATTGTATGAACTTAATAGAATTCATTTAAAATTTTTAGATAAAAAAGCAGGTTTCTATAAAATGAAAAAAAAACTAATAGTAAATAGGAGTTACAGTATCTTGGCCAATGCGAAATTGAATTATGACAAACATGAATCAAATATGTGTCCTTCTTATTAACCACATTGTATACGCAATAAGGAGATTACAACGCTTACCCATACGTATAATATAAGAGAAATACAAAACAACCACTTTAGCAGGGTTCACAAATATGAATTTTTAATAGGGTCGATGTGTCTATGAACTCTTATATCTCATGTTAAATTAAGTTGGAGATTTGATATTCTGAACTAATAAATCTATTGTAGCCTATACTAATAAATTTAATATAGTACAAGAAAATCTCTTTTTTTTTCATTTAAAAGAAACTTATACTTACGTAGTGTAGTGTTCAAGGTCATATTTTTAAGATTGTTAAAAATTGAAAAATTTTCATTTTTCATGTTTTCGCTAAAAATTTGCAAAAAATAGTCTCCTTGTTTGTTAAATTCCGGATAAAAGCTTCCTAAGATTTTATTTTTAAATGCTGGTTTCATAAACTTCACGCGGTTATTCCATTTTGGAGCTACAAAATATTTATATTATTCACATAATCATATACACAGTAATATTATTGTGTTATAGTAAAAGAAATCAAGAATTTTTTATACTTACGACTCGAGGTAAATAAGCCATCACCAATATATTTACTCAAAAATTTATAGAAGAAAGTTTTTGTTGTACAATTTTCAGATGTTAGAATTGTTTGCATTGAATCAGGATCGCTTATTACTACAAAAGAAATTGAACCAAGCCAACAACAATATGGAGATCCATGTCTTCTTTCAAATTCGCTCAAATTCTTCAAAAATGCTATAAAAGAGAAAATAATTAAGCAAAGCAAGCAAAATGTAGGAATTAAAATAGAGAATTTTTCTTAATTTAGAATTTTACCATAGCTTAAATAATAATAATTTAAATCTTGTATAGAATTTTATTTATGTTTATCTTTTCTAAACACTATTTGAACAAAATGATATTATTATTGTTATATATGTGTACAGAATGTACAAATATGTTATACAAAATATGTTCCCTGTATATTTTTTTAAATAATATAGCAAATAGATTGTTATTGATTTATTTATGAAAAACATTTTTACCAATGTAGGTCATGGAACATGCACTTCATTAATGCAATTCGGAAATTTAATACTTTATACTGTTATATCAAAAGTAATTTTACTTTTAGTACAGTACATGCTAAAATTCAAGCTTACGCATCAAGCTTAACAATATTAATGTACTAGAAAATATTACGTTTACATATGTATACCTGAAAAATTTCAAAAATGCATATTAAAATAATTCTCTATTAAGTATAATAGTAATTTTTAAAATAGGTATACATTTTACTTGTACTTAGAGTATTAGAAATATAAATTAAAAACAACTATAATTATATAATGTGATAAGTACATGCTTAACAAAATATAATGCTTATAATGAAATTCATAAATTCTAAAGTTTATGGTAGTTGTGTTATAATTATTAATTATATATAATTTATTTTTTCATAAAATATTATAAAAATTCAATTAAAAGTAATTAAATAAAGTAGATTAATTTTAATTAAACAATATTAAAAAAATTATATAAAATTTCCATAAATTAAATGATCAATTAACATAAATTGCGTTATAATGCATTTATGAAACCTTAATTATAAACTTTTTGCCATACGACCTTGATATCGTAAATACCTTTATAACTTCTCGATTTTAATGTCGCATAATCAACATTATTGTATAAAGGAAAAGATTACGGAATATTTTTACATTGTCTTCCGTACAAAAAAATGTCTCAAAATGTTCCCGAAATGTATTTGAGACATATTGTGCGTATCGAAAAATTTTTGAATACGCCATAGTAAATTCTGGAGATTTTTGGTGTTTTAAAGCCATTTTAAGTAATTTAAAATAATTTTTTTTTTAATTTTTTCTGAATAACATTAAGAAACCCTATACTTTTTCTTTTATTAATTTGACAAAAAATAATAAATAAAATATAAATTTGGTCCCGATAAAATTTAATTGATAGTGGCAAATAGAACTCCAATACATACTGAATTTCAAGGAATTTATGTAGTTGAATAACTGAAATAAAGTGCGAGTTGGTTAAGAGTGCGATATTTTAACGATAGTTTTCAAGCCCTGAAAAATTTGTTAATTCCTTATTTTAAAAACCAATGCTAATTTTGACGGGAAGTTGCGGCTTATATCCTTGTATATCGAAAAATATGTAAATGTAGGAATTAAAAATTTCAAAACCATCCGTCGACTTTTTCCTTAAAGCAAACAATTATCAAAATGTAAAATCTAGTTGTTAAAATCTGACATACCTCAAACTTGCTCACAGTAAACTGCGGCAGTTCAGTCGAGTTTTTAACAAAGGGGGGCACAGAAATACCCTGTCAGTGTCCATTTACAATGAACAATAGCATATCAGACGCGCGATCAATTAATTGAATAATTAAATTTTGATCTATTTTGATGATTAGGTGTTAAAAAGCTCCCAAGTTTACATTGTATTCAAACTAAAATTTACAATTTATGTATTTTTTTAGGACACTTACGATGTCATTGTGAATTGCCAAAATTTGGCAGCAGTTAAAAGATTTATGAACTCAATTCAAAGATATAATTAACTACATATAAATTACATACAAATTAATAAATTTAAATTTTAACTACATATAAATTTTATTATATTTTTTATTATAACATTTTTTACATCGTATATACAATTTAGATTTTTTTCATTTTATTAATTTACTATTTGCACAAGATATGGACATAAACTTATTTTGGTAGAATAAATATTATAGAACATTCTTTTTAGAGCAATATGCGAAGGCTATATATGCTGTTATTATAACCAAATATATTATGCATGTTTCAAGTACACCTTGAATACTCGTATAAATTCTTGTTTCATTTCACTTTACTACATTATAGCATATTTTGATTTACAAAATCTTTATATATTAAATTTGAATATTTTTGCAGGCATATTATTTTTTACTTAATAAAGATTTGTCATTTTTTATGGAATAATTTTATGTTCACTAATATTTTAGGCAAACACTTCCAACAAATATTTTAAGTTAATATTAATTAAATTTATTTTATTTAAAATATTAAAGGCAAAACAATTAATTTGAAATATTAATTCAAATTATTTTCACATATTTATATCAACTCACATTCAAGACGTAAAAATTTTAAAGCACTTCCAAGGAATGGTAATCCAAATGGTCCGCCAAGTTTCCAATGTAATTTATATTTATTAATATTAGACCACAAATATATTGTTAGTAAAGTAATAAATATAAGTAATAATCTAACTAACATTTTTAATTACAAAATAAATATTTTAATTTTTTTACGATAATGATTTTAATTTTTAAAAATGAGAAATGCTCTTACGCCGATTAACGACAAACTAAAGTTAAAAATATCTTCAGCTTTTAATTTATATGTCGACTAACACTTTTCCTAAAAAGCTTTATTATATTTTATATAAAAAAAATTTATTAAAATAATTGCAAGAAAATTGTTCTGCTTATACCGTAGTAGAAGAATTACATATTACGTAAGTTAAAGGTAACAGCTATACTGAAATTATACCTTCTTCATTTTAAATTTTGTGTTCTTTAAAAAAAATACTGCTAGGGGGTTTCGATATAAATTTAAATAAAGACAAACTTTGTTTTAAATTCAAAATTCTACTCCAATACTCAGGATTACTGTAATGTACTCTCTTTGTTTATAATTGCATTTACTCTCTTTATTTATAATTGCATTTACTCTCTTCCTTTATAATTATGCTCATTATATCGATTCTTGTTAATTTTAATAAATAAATTGTAAATTAATAATATCTTGTTCACGGTTTGCAATACCGGTTTTTCATTTTATCTTCTATATTTTTGGTTTTGTTTGATTTAATTGCATACAATAGTCAATAAGAGAAGTATTGTGGTCGTAACAAATTTCTTCAAGTTAAATTTTACACGTAAGGCAAATGCAAATAACCAATTTTTAAAACTACGTGGATCAATGAAATTTGTATGTCCATGAATCGATTTTTAAAAGAAAAGACCGTCGTTGTGGCGATTAGATGGTTCGAGATACGGACCTCAAACTTTATGACATTGCAGCCTGTGATGAGACATAAAACCTTTGTTCCACCAAAGCATATTTGAAGAACGATGCTAAGGGTCAAATTAAAGCTTGAAAACTCATCTTCAATTTTTTTGTAGAGGCTAATAATATTCATTCGACGGTTTCGAAGATATAACGATTTTTTTCTTTGCAATAATCAATTTTTTATATTAATAACATTAATAACGGTTCTTTTTCACAATATTATTTTTTTTATTTATTTGAATATTTAAGAACATTTTAATCAGAAATGGTGAAAGAAAAGTATGTCATTTCGTTATAGGCCATGATGTCACAAAGTATGAGGCTTTTTTTGGCATCAACTACAAGAATCAAATACTCTAAATTTGAGCTTTTATTTGTAAGCAAATCGAACATACAATAATTTTATAAATAAGTTTAAAACAAGTGTGTTAGAAGATCTTTCAATTATTTGTGTAACAGTTACAATAAACAAGCTGATATTAATAGAATTATTGGAGTGAAAATAACGTTCGCAGAGGTTCAAAACACGGTCGATTATGATCTAGCCAGATCAAATTTGTGTTTTAAAATTTAATGGTAATTTTAGTATTAGTAAAACAAGATTAACGTTTAACAAAATTCATTTAATAACAACATTAACATAGTAATAGATATATATGTATGTATATTATCATAATATATGTACATATAAAAACAATAGCAGAACAAGAGTGTAAGACATTAAAATAGTTTTATAAAATAAATTTTCTAACACATGCTCATTAAACTTTACAATAATAAGGTATTAAAATAATTACAAGTGCATTAATAATGTTCTTTAAATAAGCTGTGGAAAAAAATAATGAATTTAAATTAAAAAATTATGTAATGTTTAATAAATTATATCATTAATTGCAGTTAATAACAAGGGCAATTTGTTATTATAGAAAGCAATTTTATAGGAATTCAATTTAATATTATAGTTATTTAAATATTCTGAAACATAGAATATATTAATAAAAAGGCAAAATATTAGTAAGTAGGAACTGAAAATCTAATTTTAAAGAAGAACCTAATTATAAATTGATTATACGAGTACAAACTAGTTTGTATATCAAAAAGAAAATGCAGTTTTTGCATTGCAAGACTTACGAAAAAAAGATATAAAATGAACAGCACATAACCGGCCGTATTGTTTTCAGTGTTGCATAATATTATGAAAGCGTTTTTTTAAAAAATTTTATTGAATTTGTTTCTTTTCTAAGTGAAAGTTTGTGATTCGATTTCGCTGCAAAGTTGCCCAATTAGTTTCATCTTTAATAAGAACCAAATTATTAAATGTCCAGAAATGCCTTTAATGAACTGCTTAGATATGATAAGTAAATTCGACGCTTAGTGAAAGTCTGAACTCATCAAACGTTACTTTTTGCATAATTAAAGAAGGCTTATACATATATATTATATAATATTCGCGAAAATTCGCCTATTATTTTTTTCTTAAAATAGACATAAACATAAAATCAGTTGTTGGAAGAAGTCCAGGTCATGCGGTCGGTTGTAAACTCTTCGTCTCATCGTTATACAGGATGATTCTGAACGGTATACAACAACATATGTCATTGGTTAGAGGATCGAAAATGGGTAAAATTTTTGTCCCGCAAAAATTTCAAGGGTTTCCGAGTTATAGGGATTTTAAAGAATTTTCACGAAATTTTTACTTTTAATCCAAATTTTTTTGATTTTAATTGCCGTTCCGAAAAATATAGAAACAGTTTCTGAAAGCCCTAGTAAAGTGCTTAAAATGAACATGCTGTTTGATTTTGTATTTTATATACCTTCGGAATACCAAGCATTAGGGAAAATCAAATTTTTCACTTGTTTTATTTTTTCATATTTTTCTAACCAGATAATTTCGTAACAAAATTTTTTATCATTTTTGATTTTTTTTTTGATTTTAATCGTTGTTACTCTTAACTATTATTAATTTTTGATGACAAGAGTCAATCGAAGAAACAGTTGACATTTTTATGAGCCGTTATTTTGTAAAAAATCTGAATTCTAATGTTTTTATTAAAATGCAACAAAAAAAAACAAAAATTTAAAACGAAATTTTATACAAACTTTTCATATGAAAAACGAAAATTGATTTAAAAAAATTTGAAATTTTTGAAAAGAAAAACTAGAATTTTGTATTAGAAAAAACAAAAAAAAATCTAGTAATCAAAAATTTTTTTTCGAAACTTTTCTTGGTAAAGAAAATTAATAGGTTTTTTATTTTTGCCAATTTTTATAAGAAATGGTACCTATATGGTTTGAAATTTTTAAATGCATTTTTCTCAGATTGGGTGCAATTTGAAAATTTGAAAAAATAATTTCCGGAATGTAGACACCATTTGGCATCAGAATTTATTGAAATTAACCAGCTGGAGCGAATTTTTAAAGACATGTCATACAAATTTTGACATTAATCTAATAGAAAAAATTTTTTTTCAATAGGAAAATTTAATTTTTTGAACAAAATGGAGTTTGTGGTATTAACATTATGAAGATAATAAATAATTAATAAATGATTTAAGGGAATTAATAAACTTTAAACATATTTCTATAAAAGCTAAAATTGGCACACGGTTGATGCAACTAAAGAGGGAAGAAGATTCCAGTAAAACAATTAATATGAAATATGGGAAAGAATAGAAATAGATTTGAAAGAAATAAATTTCACATAAATTTTTGTCGATTTTCCTAGGAGAATTTGGTGTTTGTTTTGAGAAATTTGTAAAACATTTGATAAAAGAATATTAAATTGAATTTAATTTTAGTTTTACCAATATCTGGTTTGATTTTAATTCAATTTTTGGTTCACAATATTTCTGGTTTTTGTGCTCTATCTTCTGTACCATAAAAAATTTGGCAAGAATTCTATAAAAAAAATTTCAAGGTTTCTAAAAATTTCTTACAAAATTATCTGGTTAAAAACAAATAAAACAAATGAAACTGTTTGTTTGAAGTTCCTATCTTTTTCAGAACGGAAGTTACAATCAAAAAAACTTGGATGAGTAAAAATTTCGTGAAAATTCGTTAAAATCCCTATAACTCACAAGCGCTTCATATTTGGCATACAGTCCGGAACAAAATTTTTACCCATTTTCGATCCTCTAGCCTAATGGTAGATGTTGTTGTATATCTTTCTGAATCACTCTGTGTATCTCGTTTTATAACAGAAAATTTGACCTAAATTTCTTTTAATATTGTTTTGCAAAATTCGCTATAAAATGTAATATTTAAATTAGAATACTAAAACAAATTAAAATGAATTCTGTTTTGACAATTAAAATAAATGACAATTTAAAACCAGATGATTTGTGAAATTAAAATTAGTTAAGCTACGTAATGCGAATAGTTTATCTAATGTTGTTAGCAAATAACCAAACATCTTTTTTGTTCGCGGAATAGTATTTGATCAATTGAAAAAACGGAGGAATGGAAGAATAAGAAGAAAATTTGTTTTACATATTTTTTGTAAAAAAGCTTCTTCAAAATCTCAAATTGACTCTTAATAAAGATTCAAATAGGTGGCAGATGATTTAAATTAGGGCAAGACTCAAATGATTGGAGATCTATAATTTCATCTGAAAACAATGTCTATCTGACTGTATACCGTGGAATTAGTAAAAGAGTAAATAAATATACAAAATGTTCATTTAATTCTAAAACTTCTACAATGTGACGATTTTAAAGACTAGACCTAATAAACGGCTCACCTATTAACCTTTGATTCTTTTATGAATTTTTTTTTTTGTAACAATGTTGTTTGAGCTTAATTTGTTACAAGTTCGTAAAATTCCCTTTTGCCATCAATGTATAAAGTGTGTATTATAATAATTTAATTACTTTCAATTAAGTGTACTAAATGATTTGAAATTAATAATTTTTAAATGACGAATAGAATAACTTGAATACTTATTACTCTGATTTATTTTTTTAATAACTATAATAATAATTGAGTTTGCCCTACGAACAATGATCTAAAGAACGTCCCAGAATTATTACAGGGTTATTAAAAAAAATTAATTTATTTTTGTTTTAAATTAAATATATAAAATATTGTTAAATATTGTTTAAAAGAATTTAATAGGTTCGAAAGATATTTAAAAAGAATATTATGTGCAGCCTAAGTGTAAATAAAATATTGCTTCAAAAATTATGATGAAAGACAGAAAAAATAAGTTACACCGAGATTTCAAAATAAAATTTTTTTTGTTAAAATAATAGTGAATAATATTGATTCCATTCATAACTTTTAATATTATAATGCTCTTGAAAAAAGATGCTAAAAATTTTGTGAAAATGTTGAATGAAATTTGAGTGCTCCAAGTTAAAAAAGAGCACAATAGGATCCAAAAGTTTCAAAAACAAAAAGGAAGACTTATGTAAGGTAATAAAAATGTTTAAGAATTTTTATATTTTGAAGAAAATTCTAACCAAGCAAGAAATTTTGCAATCTTGTTTTATGTGTATAGCGCTATACAACTCGAACTTTTAACATTATAAAAGATCATATTAGATACATAAATTTAATTTACTTTTCTGGATCGCCCGTAAAAAATTTTTTTTATAAAACCCCCATAATTTTTGAATTTGGCGTTGAGTTCAACATTAAATAGAACTAGTTTTTTATAAATCTAAGAATTTTAAATTCTCTTATAATTGTTGATTGGATAACAATGTTGGAAGAGAATTAATTTATTGAATAAATAGATAATTATTACACAGCTTATACAGCTTTTGAAATTAATTCTAAAATAATCTTAGATATTAAAAGTTACAATATGACATGTTTTAATTGCATAAAATATGTTAATTTTTGATGTACGCATCTATCATAATTGTTATAATATAAACTTTGTGTAAAATTGAATTTTAAATTTAATTCTTTTCTATTAGTGCCTCAACTATTTTTTTGTTAATTATCTATGTGGATTTGTACATTCTTCTCAAGAAATAAACAATGTAAGATTACAACTTTTGTATTTTCCTGGGAGTTGTTGTTAAACTTTTGACCAGATCAGCTATAATATTTGCATATAGACTTTTGAAGCAGAAGCGATAAGTTTTATAAGGAAATATAATTCGTAGTTAATGACGAAACAATCTTATAAAAAATATCATAGCTATTTTTAAAATTTTTAAATTCCAGATTTCTACAGCCATTTTAAAATAAATTATAGAAAATTAAAAAAAACAAAACGTAATCCAATTCTTTGTAGAACGGCTTCATTTGTAAGCCAAGTCATAAAGAAAACATTGTTTTTATCTAAAACTCAGTTAATCAAGTGACCTGACTGATGGAGTCAGATTTTCAGTTACTGATTCATTAGCCTGGCTCGCTGAAATGGTTGTTTTCACTACCCTGTTGTAATAGATACACAAACATTTTATTGAGTGTCTTCAACCTACAAGAAAAATCTTTTTTCAAATTTGATTTTAATTTTAATTATATATTTGTGCACACATTGCTTACATACTTCAAAAAGTGGCCCATATGGTTTGTAATGTGTAGATATCCATTACGTAGATACCGGATGATGTTGCATAACTCTAAAAAAATTCAAAAAGAGAATTGTCATTTAACTAAGCCTTTAAATTGTCACGATTGAATATGATGAATTTTAAATTTTATATTTATTAATTTTTTTAATAATATGATTTAGTTTGAGTCTATTAATTTTCCTTTTTTACAATATATTGTACAAAAAGTAATTTATCATTATAAATCCATTAAAACTGGTTTTTAAAGTATATGATCAATTTAAACCAAAGCAATATTATTTAAAGTGGCACTTCCCTCTTGCGCAAGCGAAGGTTTTTTTTTTTTTTTAAAGGCATTCGTAGAATGGTAGTGAGTACTTTTCGATGAGAAAAAATTTTAAATATTATTAATTTTGTGACTCTATAATTTGGAACGGGAGGAAAATGTTCTGAGTTTGCGGAATTTAACAAAGTGTTACTGATTTCGATACAATAAGTTGCCGGAACATAATGCTTTTACAATTTTAAGGAGTTGTTATTCGGACGAAGCTGGGATGAAATTTTTTTTTTAACAAATAAACAGACGCTGGGCTGCCGAATTGAGAGTCGGATGGACAGAATAAAACCAATATGCTTTTTTTCGAATTTAGTGGAAAAGGTTTAAAAACCGGTTATTCAAATATACAATCGAAATAATTATTTTTTATGCACATTTATGTCATGTGTTAAACTGATAGGTATGTTTGATTAATCGCTATATGCTTATAATTAAAATAAAAGTGCGCAGCATGTGACCGAACACGTGGTACATTTCTATAAGAACATTAGTAAAATGCTCATTAGACGATTCGTGCCAATACATAGAGGCAAAAGAATTTCACTGTAAATTTTTAAAATATTTTATATGAACTTGTTTTGAATTTTCAGAATGTAAGAGAAAACAAAATCGAATTATTGATTTTTCCAAATTTTTTTTAAATGGAGTGGGTTATAAAAACTCAAGAAAATTTAAAATTGTAAAAATACTAAACGTGAAGTTAATTTGTGGTTCAATTAACGAAATGCTAATTTACTTATTCGTAGACACTTGTATATTTAGTCTAAATATTTTTCACCCTAATCCCAAAATTAAACTAGAATGAAATAAAAAAATTATTTTTTAGTTCTTTTACGTTTACCAAAATATTTACCTGTTGAAATAAATACACAATCCATTATCCATCAAATATTTAAGAAATTCATGAACCATCCATTTTAGAATTGGTTCAACCAAAGTAATCCAGTGCAAAATAAAATGTAAACAAATTCGGCATTATATCAATTCTTATCTGTCTTCAAATCTCATTAAAATATCTTAAAACTTCATGTTTCCAAATAATATAAAATTGATCAATTGTTATTCAAATTTAAATAGTTCAAGTTAGTTTTCATCCAATCTAAAACATCAGTAATTGCAATTGATTTCTAAAACATTATAATTTAAACAGCATCACATGTTTGCATGAATGCATAAGCCATACGGTACCACAATGCATTACCATAATGCATACGATATGCATTAAGTAAACTATGCATTAAAGTGGAAAGTTTTTGCATAACAAAAGTTTTGACCCATAATTATAGTTCTGCTGTAGTTAATAAGAAATATTGAACAGTGACGATTATTAAAGATAAACCAGGCTTTACTTTATAATATTAATGATAATTTTAATATTTGTCATTATTTGAAAATGGTTAATTCGATATTTTTTAACTACTAATACTCATATGTAAATTTTTCATGTAGGGTAACTAATATGACCTTAAATAAATTAATTATACGCTTTGTACATGCATACATAATATATTGTTGATTTTCATCTTTGCTATACGCGTAGAATTAAACAGCCAGAAGCGATAGAGAGCAATTTAAGTTAATTTATTATCTAAACTTTTTTTTTATAATTAGATTTTTTCTATAGTTAAACTGATTAGATTATATTGTAAATTGATTACCTGATCTAAAAGAGCTATTGCGCCCCTCCCTGCCACCGGTGTCCAGGGGCTTGCCTCCAAGCACCTCCTTCAGAACTATATTTTTAATGAATGCGAGCAATTTGTCTGGAGAAGTATTCCGCAACGATATGCCCATCACACGGGTGCACCCAAACTGTCCTTTTTTCTGTGGATCAACGCTCCACATTCATTGAGAAAGTGAATCGGGGTCTTTTCTACTTCACCACAGTACTTACAAGATTCTAAGAGTTTTTTGAGATTGTGGTGTTCCATCAGAAAAGCTGTGAAAATTTTCAGATGATTCCTTGGCATCCTTATGATCGTCTTTAAGTGCTTCTTGTCGCAATTGTCCAAAAGCCCCTTTCCTTCACAAAGCCACGGACGTACCTTCAACGGCTTCATCCTTTTCGCTTCAAAACAAAAAAGACCCCTCGCTTCGCTAGCATATTTGCTTCCTAGTTTCCTCCCACGTCAAGGTGCACTCGCGCCCAGCACAGCGTGACCGAGTTGTTACGACCTTAGCTGTTGAGCTTGCCAAGACAGTCTCACACCATCCGAGAGGGGATCTTGCAAGAATACGGGGTCCTTATGACAACCTGACTGTCGGATATTATTCTTATATTAAGTTGGGCGAATCTTTCTGTAGGGGGTATTCTCGTCTGAAGGGTACCCCAGGAAGCGTACTGGACTAAATTAACTAAATATTCTATAGCTAACTAAGATGTTCCACCATAAGTTGAAAAGCAAAATTTGAAAAGAATTTAATAACAAAATTGCGACAATTCAATAAATCATCAATAAATATAAGAAAAAGGGAGCAATGAGTAACTGCTGTGCTGTTATTATCACTCCGGTTTTTAATTATAATATCCATCATTCTTACACGGTTAGGCAAACAAAACATTTATGCAAGGGGTACTTAGTACAAAATTATATTTATGATTATAGTTACAAACCTATATTTTCATAAATAATTTAAAAAAAACTCCAAAATTATACAAATAACCCTAAACTTTTACAATCAATTTAAATTAATTTTTATATATATCTACTGTCGTTTCTCAAATACAAATTTTGGATGACGTTCAAATTTCATTGAAATATTTTCCACAAATTCTAATTCTTCAAATTTCATATCGGTAGTAATTCTATAATTTCTAAAAATTCTCGCCAAAAATAACTTCATAAATGTTATTGAATATTTAAAACCTAGAAAGAGAAATCGATTCCATCAATTCGAAATTAGAATGAAATGTAGAATAGAAATCTATAGATACCTATACACATTCTTTGACCCTTTGTAAACGGAATATGTGAGTAAGGATGAACATATTTTAAATTATCAGGATGAAAATTATCAGGTTTGAATTTTTTTGCATCTGGACCCCAATGTTTTTCACTACGTTGCATATTAAAAATATCTAAGACAAAATCTGTTCCTTTTTTTATTATAGTACCATCTTTTAATTTTATGTCTTCTATATTAATTCTACCAACAAGAGGAGTTGGAGAAATGACTCTTAATGACTCATTTATACACATTTCTGTAAAAACTAAATCACTTTTAATATTCTCTTCATTCACTTCAAAATCTTTATGTGGGAAAACTAAAATAAGTTCATTAAAAAGCCGTTCCTGTTCTACGGGATGCATAGCCAAACATAATATTGTAATGTAAAGAGCAACAGCTGTAGTTTCAAAACCCTAAAATCAATAAGCTAATATTAAGCATTTAAATTATCATTAAAGCAGTATGAACTAAATTTATTAACAGAAATTTAAAAATGTTTTTTACTTACTGCACCAATAAGGACAATTATTTCATCTCTTATATTTATTGGTGTCATCTTGTGTTCAATTTTAAATATGTAATCTAGAAATGATACTGGTGTTACATAAGGTTTTTCTTCATCATCATCAACGACCAAAAATTTTTTTGTCTTCAATTTTTCCAGTTCATTTTCTTTCCATTTATACTCAATTTTCTACGATAAAAACAATTTTTGGATTCTATGAAATTTCAATAAATTGTTTGTTTTTTTGTCTTACTTCGTCAAGATATTTTAGAAGTGGTCCGACACAACTGATAGTATTATTATAGTGAGACGAAAACTTATAGATTCTACTATCAAAAAACCAGGGTTTGAAAATTCTTTCAATCATGCCACCCATCAATCTGAAAAAGTAAAACATTTCGTTCAAAGATTATTGCGTATTCCTTGGCATCTTGATAGCAATTTACTTTTTAAAGATATTTAACATTTCATCGAAATCAACGCATTTTACTTCAGAGTATTCTTCTCCAAGGGTTGTTTCTGGAAGATATAAAGAATTATTTAATTATTAAATGTTAAAAATAATTATAGATTTTCAAACAGCGAATACACTATTAAAATACAGAGGAATATTTAACTGCATTTGAACTACCCTTTAAATTTTTCTATTTTAAGAAATTTATAAATTAATAATTTGATATAATAGAATGGATGCATATCGATATATTTTAACCATATGATCAAGTAATCATATGAAATTCCCTCGAATCGCATATTGCGGGAATTCCCGTCGCGAGTGCATTTGATTTAAAACAGAATTTATTTTATTGCATTTCTTGCTCGAAAAAAATAATTGAACGTCGAAGTGTTAATCTTATTTAGTTTATATTCTATTAGTAAATAAATGTTATTTCATTATAAAAAGTTGTTTTACTTACTAAATGTAGCTTTTAAAGCAATTAATTGAATTGCATGGAAAAAATTATAATCTTCAATATTGCCATTTTTCTCGATATTATCAATTAATTCCCAAGAACTTTCATTGAAAACTGAATAAAAGCTTAAAATGATTTTCCGTTTAAAAGCTGGTTTCATAATTTTAACCCTTGAATACCATAATGGAACTGGAAGATGAAAGAAAAATGAGATTTACATTTTTTGTTTTATTTTTTTAGAATTACCTGTTGAACTAAACAGTCCGTCGCCTATTAAATCCGTCAAGAATGCATAAACAAAACTTTTATTTACACAATGAGGTGATGTTAGAATTGTTTCCATTGTATCAGGATCACTTGACACCATCATAGGATATGTTCCCACCCAAGTAACATATGGTGATTGATATTTTTGTTCAAGTTGACTAAAAAACTTTAAAATTTCTGAAAAAAGGAAATTTTTAAATAAAACGAGAAAAAATAGAGTTGTCGTATTACCATAATAATTTATGTAAAATTTCAGTAATGTGTTTTCAATATTTTCCAAGATATGGCCAAACTGCTATTGAAGTTGTACTGGAGCTACCACAAGCAGTCAAGAAATTTCAACGAATTTTATCAAACACATTGGCCCTACTAATATATTCACTCGTGTGAAATTTCAACATTACAGCTTTTACAGTTTCTGAGATATAGCGAAATAATTTTTGAAGTTGTATGGCAGCTACCAAAACCAGTACCCCGATCATATCCAATTTAAATGGGGTACTGGCATTTACTATAATAAATCATTTGTGAAAATTTGGTGAACTTAGCTCAATTAGTTTTTGAGTTATTGTTGAGACGAACGGGCGAACTGACAAAGCTAAATCGGATCAGAATTTGACGTTGATCAAAAACATACACTGGAGTCTATATCTCAGATCATTATTTCTTAGCTTTACAAACATTAAGGTAAATTTAGTATACCCTTCGAACATAAGTTCGTACAGGTATAATTATATTGAACAAAAGTGCTGATTATTTTTTTGGTATAAATAATATTTGTGCGTAGATGAAACGTGGGTAAGTACGTATGTAGTTATATAAAGATAAAACTTGAAAAATTTGAAGTATCAAAGTCGTAAGATGAAATTGTTCATAATTTTCTAACAATTTATTCTTACAACGTGCCCTAACGTTTGTCTGTTAACAAATTTAAAAAAGTTCACAATAGTCGTAGCAATTCAGTTCTTACATAAAGACCTACAAATAACAAGCTTAATAATTTTTGTTTAGAATGCAAGAAATGTTATATGATTTTTCAAATCTACATATAATTAAAATTGTTTATTGTATGCGTATATTACACTTAATATAAATACGCAGTTGTATGTATGTCCATAACTTCAATAAACAACTTCCTACTAAATTATTACTGTAATAAAATTATAATTAAAAGTAAAATATAATTGTAGAACACAATTAAAATATAATTGTTTATACTATTGAAATCAATTAATATTATTTGAGAAATGTATAATTATTAGAGGTGGTGTACATACATATTAGTTATAGTTAGTACATATAAGCATTTTTAAACATCTGAACTATTAAGAAATTTTAAGTTTAGCTGAATAAAATAAATATTTCATATTAAATTAAAATTGGCTTCAACAAAATTCAAATTGATTTAATATTTAACCGTAAGATTACCGTTTTCACACGAACTTATTTTCGAAAGGAATCATAAATTTGCCTTGCGTAGGTTACGGTAAGAAATAATAGTTTGACATAAGTACATGTTTTTGACCAGCATCGAACTCTAAGTAGATTTAGTTTTGTCTGGCCTTCTGCCTGTTTGTCCCAACGACAACTCCAAAAATAAATAAGCTAAGCTCAGCAAATTTTCACAATATTTTTTTATAGCAGTTAATGCAAAAATCATTTTCAAATTGGAAACGATCGAGACAAAGGTTCGGATAACTGAAATGCAACTTAAATAATTATTTGGCGTTATTAAAAATTTTTTTTTGATTCCTTAAGGTAGCTACCATGCAACTCCAATAGGTATTATAACTTTCTCACTAGAATAAAAAGCTTGGTATCACAGAATTGACGTGATCAACTCCTTTTTTTCTCGTTTTTTATGAAATTATTTTCTTTCAATAAGTTTTTGTTACTTTACCATTTAGTTGTCTGGTCTCTTACATATTTTAATTTCAAGTTTAAATTCGTGTCAAAAAATTTTTCAAATAATATTAAAGTTATTAGTAATTCAGGGGGAAAAAAAGAAATACGAATCATTTAAACTGTTGGCCTCAAAATATATTGATTGATGATATTAGCCCTTTTCATTTATTTATATCATATAACCATTCCATAACGCAAAATTTTTAACTAAGAACCCCCTTTCCCTCTGACTCATACGCTTTTTTATTGGAAATTGATTAAAGAATCATCCCCAAAACTATTTGCCATCTTATGCGAAACACCCTGTATAATATGATGACTTTAGGAGAAGATTTTTTCCACTACTTTCTATCTATTAGGAGCAATATTTTAACAGAAACGTAAAAATTGTAAAGGATAAAGAATTTGTTTTTGGTTAATAAACTTACGTTAATAAATAGATAAAAGATTACTTACTATTTGGATTATTTAAATTGAATAACGATCCCAATATTGGAAGGCCCAAATCTCCTTTTAATTTCCAATGCATTATATAGAATTGTTTTTGCTTCCAAAAATATAAGAATATTGCACAAATTATGAATAAGAAGGATAACATTGTGTTAGTATTTATTGTTTTTTCTTGCCAAATTAATAAAAAATCACTTTTGAAAAAAATATCACTTTGGAATTTAAATTAAATTTAAAAGATTTTATTCACTGATCTTTTCAGGTTGCAGCCATGATCTAAACTGATCAATCTTTTAAATTCAAAAGAGTGTTTGATATACATGTATAACAGTACTAAACTACATAATAATTACTGCATAATCAATGGTACGACATAATAATAAGTTATGATGTGTCCCACAATATTTGTACTTGTAATTAATAATATATGTTATTATTAAGAAACCTGCATACAATGTTTCTTTATATAAAATTCGTTTTATATACGTCAATAGTATCATAAAATAAATAGTTATACATTTTATAATTGATTCAATATTAAAGTAATCAAACATAATTTAGGTACAATTATTACTGACATTTAATTCATTACTTTGTTGCATTTTACATATTTTTTAAAGTTTATTCCGCTTAAAATTTTTGCGTTATTTCAGTAATATATAATTGGACATAATACATAAGCAAAAGATACATAAACCAAGTAAAAACGTTTCAGTCGGTATAAACCGACCGAATTACACCCTGCTTGTCAGCAATCTGAGTTTAAAATTTGTTTTTGAAATATCTAGAATTAGCTCTCATTGTTATATACCAAGTATTCGAACCTGACAATTCACTCTATAGAAACTGCATGGATATGTCTGACCTATTTAATTGGACACACAACTGCAAAGTTTCATGAATCTAACTCTATTATTTTTTTTAATATTTTAAATTAGCTTCTGGAACTCACACCTCTTAGGCCATTCCATCAATACTTCAGGGATATGTTTGGGCTGATATTGGACACAAGACTGCCAACTTTCATGAATCTAAATCTATTATTTTCCCAAATCATTAAAATTTATATGGCGGCCACCCAAACCTGTCAAGGCATCCCACCAAAACTTCAGGAATATATGTGAACAACAATTGGACACAAGACTATCAAATTTAGTGAATCTGACATTATTTTTCCAAACATTTAAACTTATCTTTTGTAGTTGTACGGCAGCTACCCGAACCCGTTGCCTGAATTGGCTCAATTACAATAGCAGCCGTCGTTTGCGCAAAAGGAGCAACTTGTGAAAGTTTGATGCTGATTGCTTTATTCGTTTTTGAGTTATAGTGCGATCGGACGGAAGGACGGATATGGCTAAATCAACGCAGAATTTTACGCTGAGCAAAAATATATATATATACGTCCATACCGCAGACGACTCCTTCAAGTGGTTACAAACTCCATACCAAAGTGAATATACCCTTCACGAAGTACAGGGTATAAAAAAATGTGCAGACTACAATTAAAAGTACAAACTACAAATAAAAACGAGAAAAAATAGAGTTGACCTTGTCAACTCTGTGATACCCGTACGAATTTGTTATCCTATGTGCGAATAACTAATGTGCCATAACTAACTATGGGGCAGACTATGACTTTAAGTTGCCGTATAACCATATTAATTTATGCAAAATTTCAGTACTATGTGTTTTTCAAAATACTAGTTGTGCCAAACTACTATTGAAGTTGTATGGCAGCTACCAGAAAGAGCCAAGAAATTTTAGCGAATTTTATCAAGCACATCGGCCCTACTAATATACTCACTTGTGTGAAATCTCAATATCACAGCTTTTATAGTTTCTGAGATATAGCCAAATAACTTTTGAAGTTGTATGGCAGGTACCAGAAGGAGCCAAGTAATTTCAACGACTTTTATGAGAAACTTTGGCCCTACTAATATATTCGTTTGTGTGAAATTTCAATACCATAGCTTTAATAGTTTCTGAAATATAGTCAAATATCTTTTGAAGTTGTATGGCAGGTACCAGAAGGAGCCAAGTAATTTCAACGACTTTTATGAGACACATTGGCCCTACTAATATATTCGTTTGTTTTATAGTTTTTGAGATATAGCCAAATAAATTTTGAAGTTGTATGGCAGCTACCCGAACCGGTACCCCGATCATGTCCAATTTAAATAGGGTTCTAGCACTTAGTACAATAAATCATTTGTGAAAATTTGATGAACTTAGCTCAATTAGTTTTTGAGTTATCGTTGGGACAGACGAACGGACGGAAGGACAGACAAAGCTAAATCCACTCAGAATTCGACGCTGATCAAAAACATGCACTTGAGTCTATATCTAAGACCGTTATTTCTTAGCGTTACAAACGGTAAGGCAAATTTAGTATACCCTTCGAACATACGTTCGTACGGGTATAAATATCATTTGTACACAATATACTGGATACTAATTCAGTTCCTTCTTATCGCACGAAAATTGACGAAAATAAACGAAATCTGTTGTTAAATTGGTTTTTCTTAATAAATTCTATATTTTCGTGAAAATCAAAATTTTTTTAGATTCGTATGTTGGATCTGAGTTTGGAAATCCAATGCTTATAAGTACATATCGTTAGTTTCCTATGCCTATAATCAAAAGTAAGTGAAAAAATAAGTGCAAAAAAATGAAGTTAGAATATAATATATCGTAATTCTTTATTTGTAAACCAACATTCTTTTTCTTTAACAAAAAAAAAACAAAAACAGAAAATTAACTAGGAGTTTTTTTTTTTGCTCGTTTTTAAGCAACACTGACTGGTTACACTTAAATCACAATACGACTATGTCAAAATTAATTGACACAAAAAAACTCGATCAAATATACGAGATAGTGAAATACTTGAAAAAATCAATAAGTTAAAACTGACTTTTAAATATATTTACGCTTTTAAGTTGGTGATAATTGAGAGTAGCGACAGTCATCAAAGGGTTAATCTAATCCGCAATTTAATTAATCAATCATTCTGCTTTTGTTTACTGGTGGCTTAAGTTTGAATCAAATAGTTTTTATAATACAAGGAACTGCAGCTTTAACAATATTTCATAAAAAATAAACGCTTTTCTTTTTTCCATTAGATTATTTTAAGAAAGTATTACAAAATTTATATTGAATTCCAAAAAATAGTAGACCGCAAAATTTTTATCCATCTCATTTATTAAATCAGTAGTAGAAAATAATAATGGCTTTACAATAATAAACAAATAAATTATTGCTTTAAAATTTCTGTATCTGCAATTGTTTATTTTCTAAGTTTATCATGCTAGTATATATAATGTCATTCATAAAATATTTAAGAAATAAAAGCTTACTAGTTCATTCATTAGTTAAAGACGAAAGTTACAATTTAACTTTTTTTTTTCCTTTGCTCACTCATAGGAGGAGCATAGGGCTAGTGCATGATATCATATGCCCTAGTTTCATAGCGTTATAGAGTTTTAACTAGGAAGGCAACTAACCTGCCGTAGAATTGTTTCTTTATATTAAAGATTTAAGTTTTTATTAATATTTACTGTTTACTTTTTTTAGTTTTCAATATCGAATATTATAAATATATGAAAATTACTTGTATAATATTTATGAGTATTGTATATTAAATTATAATGTTGAATATAATTTTTAAAGTTACCTAACTGGGGTTTCAATTCGTGACCCTCCGTTTAAAGGACCGGTGCCATAACCACTGCACCAATAGTCAGATCAATGTAACTACAATGTAAAACTACTGTCGATGTAACAAACAATGTAACTAGTAATATCGTATTTTTTTACAAAACTATTATATAGTAAAAAATTCATTAATTGCAATATTTTTACTATTTCTAAATTTTACGTAAATTTTTTTAGATTTATGGCGCTTTATTATCTATCGATATACATACGTTACATATAGCTATGTAGATTCAAAAATTAAATATTCCAAAAACTTTTACTTTCATGCATGGCGTAAAAATAGCTTTATAACATCTTAATTATATGTTATATATTTGTAGGTATTGAGGTGTTATTACTTTATAAATATAAACGAGTTTGATTTTTTTTTCATTTTCTAGAAATTTTTAATATAATCGATAATATCAACTTTAATGTTTGTTTATATACTTATACGAATATTCATTCAAAAAATGTAAATTGCATTATAGCATCTTTTCGCAGTGACATTACCAATATTGGTAATCATTATATTATAAAAATTTATAATGTAAATTGTTTATGGTATCTTGATATTCTTTGATAAATTGTGAATTACACGTGTTCACCTTTAGTTTATAGAATTTTTATAACCATTTCGTAAATATCGTAGATAATAACGGCTACTTAAGGTAGACTAGTTTTTTTTTTTTTTGTAAACATTTTTATTATTAATTTTCTTCTTACGTATAATTTTATTAATAATTGGTGGTTTGTGTTTTTCTTCTAAATCAATTTAAAATTATACAAATATTAAATTTTTCTATCAACATTCAACTACTAAACTTTATTCAATTCACATTAAATAATAGTTTAATCAAACCGATGTTGCGTATTTTGTCACATAAAAAAAAATATTAAAAATTTTCTTAAAGTTAGGCGAATGCTTAGGCTTGTACGAAACGAATATAAGACTGAAAAGTATTATAAATTTGCCTTCTTATTTATAACACTACAAAATAATATTCTAAGATATACACATAAGTGTATGTTTTTGATCAGTGTCAAATTTATCGTGAATTCGGTTAGCTACCCTACAACTTCAGAAGTTATTCGGTTATATCTCACAAATTATTGGAGCTTATTGGAGCTTATATTACAATTTCGCGCAATCAAATTTCATATTATTGAAAATATTATGTATAATAAAAGTCGTTAAAATTTCTTGGCTCCTTGTGAGATTTGCCGTTCAACTTCAATAGTTCGCTCATAAGACAGCATGTTCGTACGGGCATCACAAAGTTGTTACGATCTATTCTATATTTCTCGTTAGATTTTAATACAATATGTCGTTAATGAAGGTTTTTGTTTTTACCGACCGCATTGTGTATACAACAGACTGGTATGTGATAACAACAAATTTTGCATATCGAGTTTTCGGTGGCAACGTACTTCTCCATGGTAGGAATTATTTTTAGCAACCTGTCGGTCTGTGTGTGCAGCAGTGTATCTCAAGTTCGAACCGATTTTGATGAAATTTCATTTGTAAGTTTATTTCGACTATGGCACTGATTGATCAACTTCTGGGATATGTCACACCGCGGGAACTGCACTTTTTTGCGGGCCTGTTTTACATTTTTGATCATTATGAAGAAAATATTCAACAGATTTACTTGAAATTTCATATGTAAGCTTCGCTCGATCGTCCGCGAAAAGCGCGTCCTAACTTTTGGAAGAAATCAGGCATCAGCAACTAGACGTTTGCTACGCGCCAAATATACATTTTTGTGTATATGAAGAAAAACAATTAATCGATTTCATTGAAATTTAATATTTGAATTCTTCGTATTAAAACAATGAACATAGAAAACTGATCTGCGGGACGATTTTACATTTTTCACCAAATCTACGAAACGAATTGATCGAATAACTTGAAATTTGAGTTCTGGTTGTTACCGAAACTAACTGGCAAGCATTTCAGGGAATTCAGGTAGCACAAAGCGAAACTCTACTAAGAGCTAAATTTACATTTTTCTAGGTATGTTAACTATATGCTTACTAATGTTCTAAAAATTGGAATGAAGTATTTAACAGGCATTTTTATAATATTCTGTAACACTTTCGCTTAACTAGACAATACACATTGCGGTCGGTTATGTACTGATCCCATCAGATTTTTTTTTTGTCTGTTAATGACCTACACTAAGTGTAATAATATATTATAATAGAATAAATTTAGTAATCTACCTGATTTTAACTAGAAGAAAGAAGTACGAAGTAATTTATATGCTTTAAGAATAAAATTTAGAAGGCAGGCGTATTATAAAAATAAATGCATTAACAGTATATGGTAGGAAATTCTACAACAATTTAAATATATATATGTATGTGTAATTGATTTTATAACTGGCGTATAATTGATTTATTTATGGTTTTTTTTTGGGTCAAGTATTGTCATTAATTTTTATATGAAATATTTCATTCTATATAGATTTTTGTGGCACACTTTAAAAAAACAAAACAATTAAGAAAATTAAACTTTTAGTAATTTAATGTCTAAATTATAAGTGTTATCAAAAGTAATTAAAACATTAATTTTCACGTAAGAAATTCCCGTTTGCAAAAATTCGAAGTCACGTGTTAAAAAATTATACGATTTTTTTGTTCCACATATTTTTAAATTAAATTCATTAAGTATTTATTTAGAATACTTATTAAAATATAGTTGTTAGAAATAGATAAATGACGAGAAAAAATTAAGTTGACCTAGTCAACTCTAATGACATCAGTGCGAATGTTTTCTATAGATCTTAACATTTTAAATGAAAAATGTTAGCCCTATATCATTAGACCTTTAAAATTTTTAATGTACATAAGTTAATTTTTTTTGAATTTGCGAATTTACTGAAACCTATTATCAAACTCGGTTATTAAAAATTTAATCAATTGTAGTGATGAACGGACAGATGAACGGACATAAAAGCTAAATTGACCCAAAATTCGACCCTCATCAAATAGATATGCATTTGTCTTTCTGAGATATCAAATTCTTAGTGTTACAAACAGCGAAATAAATTTGTAATACTCTTCGAATATTTGTTCTCGTGGATGGGTTTATAATAAATAAATTAAAGCTTATGATTGAAATAAATTTAAATTTAAATATCGTTACAAGATTTTTATTATTTGTAAGTAATTTTTAAATCTGACCATTGGTGCAGTGGTTATGGCACCGGTCCTTTAACCGAAGGGTTTCGGGTTCAAACCCCGGTCAGGTCACTATAAAAATTATATTCAATATTATTATAACTTAATATACAATACTAATAAAAATATTATACAAGTAATTTTCAAATATTCCTAATATTCGATATTAAAAAAAAAACTAAGAAAAATAAATAGTAAATATTAATAACCTCAAATAATTAATATATAAATAAAAACTACGACAGGCTAGTCACCTACCTAGTTAAACCCTATGACGCTATGAAACTAGTGCATGAGAAATCATGCACTAGCCCTAGGCTCCTTCTAGGAGTGAACAAAGGAAAAAAAAAAAAAAAAAGTAATTTTTAAAATTTACTTACCATTTCAGTTGAACAGATTTATTAGTTAATTTGAATTTAATTTTTAAAAAATTTTTGTCTTTATTTAAAATTTTCAAAAACATTTAATGAAATTCCTATATACAACATATTGTAACAAACTATTAAAAGTTCGAATTTGTGATACAAATTTGAATTGCCTGACTTAATTTAACATTAGGTAATTCAGAAATAGATTTCTAATTAATTTGTAAATAAAATAATAAATATAAAGATTAATATTTATTATTTAAATTAAATATTGGTTATTATACCCTGCCCCTTCGTGATTTTGACATTTAGGTCCGTCTACATTGATTAAGACATGAGCGTCCGTCCGCCCGATTGCACGATTCAAAAACTATGCAATCGACACCAAACTTTCAGAAGTTGTTTCTTTTGTGCCAAGGACGAACCCAATTGTAATTGGACCAATTCGGACAACGGGTACGGAGAGCTGCTATACAACTTAAAGAGTTTATTTTAAATATTTAAAAAACTAATAAAAGTATAAATATGAAATTTTATATCCGTGTGTCCAATTACATTCTACACATGCTCCAAAAATTTTAATGATATGACAGCACCGGTTCGGGTGGCCACCATACAATTCCAAAAGCCAATTTTTTATATTCGGAAAAATAGTAGTCAGATTTATGAAACGTGGCAGTCATGTATCCAATTATAGGTCAAATATATTTCTGAAGCTTTAGTGGAATTGCTTGACAAGGTCGGGTACTTGCCATACAACTCCAAAAGCTAATTTTAAATAGTTAGAAAAATAATAGTCAGATTCATGAAACTTGGCAGTCGTGTGTCCAATTGTAGGTCAGATATACTCGTGAAGTTTCTATATAACAATGAAAGGTGAATATATTCTAACAATGAAAGGTGCAGGGTATAATTCAATCAGTTTATACCTAGTAAAACGTTTTTACTTGTTAATATTTATTTTAAATAATAGTTAGCATGAAATTGAATTATATTATTTAAGTTCTGTTAATTACAGACTTTGAACATACATAAATCTAATGTAGAAGTATACAATATAGAGTCAAGAGTACAATGAATACGAGTTTACAATATTATTTTAATTCAATTAATTTTTTTTTATTTACATAAAAATATATGATATTGTATTATATACTGTCATTATAAATTCTAATTAATCAAAATTAAAATATTTTAATAATTGAGCTATTTTTTTTTTTGTTAAACTACCAAAGCCTTAAAATTTTAAAATGACACGCTTATTACGAAATAAACTTTAAATACAAAACTATAATATATTTTTTATTACTAAATTTTATAAAAAATACAACAACAAATTATATAATTATATATATATAATTACAATTTACAATTTTATTTTTATAAATTTTAACTCTTAATTATTGGTTAATTTATTAAAATTAACCGTAATTAAAGTAATGATATAATATTGTAGAAAATTTTATAAACATATGGAGAGTTTTCAAAAATTCCCATATATTATTGATCTTATACAATTATTATAGTTTATTTTACAATATATATATATGAAAATTGAAATAGAAATATTTTTGGTTTCAAGAAATCAATTAAATAATATAATATTAAAACATCATTAAATTTTTCAACTTGTAACCCCACAGTGCAAAGTGAAATATAAGATGTAAAATTCAAGTTTATTGAAATTGTCATGTTTTACCCCATGTGTTATACATTTATGTTATATGATATTTCTGGTACCTGATGTGATATTTCTGGTAAAACGCCTATATAACTATATGCAATTTCTAATTCCTAAAATTCTTTAAAAATCTCTTATATAATTTTAATAAAAAAAAAACAGGAAAACTTATCTAATAATAATTAATTTAGATCAATAAAAATTAATTAATTTTAATTTTTTTTTGTATATATAAAATTTTCTATTTTAAACGTTTTTCAAATTTGTACGTTGGATGAGTTTTTACTTTAATTGAAATATTTTCGATAAATTGTAAATCTTCAAATTTCATATTTGCACTAATCTTATAATTTCTAAAAAGTTTCGCTACAAAAATTTTCATTAATGTAAAAGAATATTTAAAACCTAAAAATAAAAAACAAAAAAATTAATTAGATTTTTATGAGAAGAAAAAAAAATTACATGAAATTTACTGCTTTAACAACTTACCTACACACATTCTAGAACCCTTTGTAAATGGAATAAAAGCATATGGATGATAATCTTTTATTTTATCTGGATGAAAATTTTCTGGATCAAATTTTAATGCATTTGGACCCCAATGTTTTTTACTACGTTGCATATTAAATATATCTAACATAACATCTGTATTTTTCTCTAATATTATACCATTTTTTAATTCAACTCTATCCATTGTAACACGTCCAACAACTGGTACTGGTGATATAACACGCATTGATTCATTTATACACATTTCAGTATATCTTAAATCTTTTATGTGCTCTTCTGTAATATCCGTATTTCTATCTGGTAAAATATCACATAATTCTTCATATAATTTTTCTTGTTCTTCTTCATGCATTGATATACACATAATAGCACAATATAGAGCTACGGCAGTAGTTTCAAATCCCTAAAAAAAAGAAAAGATTAAATTTTTTTTAAGTATTATAATTGCAATATTATATGTTTTCATTACATACTCGTATTTTTATTATAATTATGAAACAACAATATTATGCATTGCTAAGATTTGTAAAAATATAGTCACAACTTTAAAAGGTGATGTTTTAAAGGAAAATTTTATAATACACTTTTTCCGGAGGAATATAAAAAAATACATACCGCTGCAATCAATACATATATTTCACTTTCTAGTTCTTCTGTTGATAAACAATTTTCATTGTTAATGCAAATATACTCTAACAAAGATAATGGTGATTTAAATTCATTGTCATCATCATAATCATTACTATTGTTTTCCAACTTTTTTTTATATTGTTCTTGAATTTGTAATTTCTTTGAAATAACTTTCTATACTTACGCAAGTATAGAGAATAAAATAAGAAAAATATTTAAATAAAATTAATTACTATTCATTTAATTTTTAAATTTAAGTTGAAATTACCTTATGAACAAAATCTACAATTATACTTCTATGTTTGCAAGCATTTTTGTAATGATTAGTTAAATTATAAATTCTGGAATCAAAATAATATGGTTTAAACATCCTATCAATCATGGCATACATTAAACTGAAATGGAAAATATTATTAAAGTTAAAGAATTTAACTGTAATTATAGTTCTCACAAATATTAACGTAAAAAAAATTCCAGTGTCTAAATAATTGCAATAAGTGTGACCAAAATATAATATTCAATTGCCTATTCAATTGCTGACAACGAAATTAGTTTAAAAGTTAATCGAATATGATGAAATTCATATTTAAGCTAAGTCTAATTCAATTTTTTAATTCATCCGAACAATTTTTTTAACACATATAAGATTTTACGCGAGTATGTTAGATAAACATACTGTATTACGCAGTACTCGGTATATCGGTCTTAATAGGGAATCTAAATTTGGATTTCAGGATTCCAAAATTTTATTTAATTTGAAATAATGTATTTTAAGCAATTATATTTTCTTCTGAACTTTTTTTGCGATAATTCCGCAAATATAGCGGAATTTCGGATTTCATTTATTTTATGTAATTCTGAAAATTCCATAATTTATTTTTTGATAAAAATTTAATTTTTTAGTTTTAAAAAACTAGCGAATACTACGGTAATTAATTAATATTAATAGTTTTTGTTTTTTTATAAAAACTTACTATGAAAATGATTCTAAAATAACTCTGAAATCCACCTTTTCTGCATCCGAATGTGAATCTCCAAGTGTTGTTTCTGAAATTAAAATTTACCAATAAATAAAAAATAAAAAATCACAATCACTTATTTAATCTTATTATAGCACTTACGGCATGTTGCTATTAAAGCTGCTAATTGTATATTAAAAAATAATGAAAAATTTTCATTATTGCCACCTTCTTCTATACGACAAAGAAATTTTTTCGCTTCTTCATTAAATACATTATAAAAACCTAATATCATTCGTCTCTTAAAAGTTGGTTTAACAATTTTAACACGAGTATTCCATAATGGTACTAAAATAAACAAAATTAAATTATTTTAATAAACTTTGTATTAATAATATTAAATTAATGATGTTATTGTATAATGGAAATCCTGTTTAGAATTTATTATTTTTCATTACCATTTGAGGTGAAAAGTCCATCACCAATTATATCACGTAAGAAATTGTAAACAAAACTCTTATTAACACATTTTGGTGATGTTAAAATCGTTTCCATTGTATCTGGATCACTTGATACAACAACACATAATGGTCCTAACCATTCTACATATGGCGATTTATGTTTTTCTTCCTCCTTTGCCAGGACATGTAAAACATCTATGAAAAAAACAAAAACATGAATAAATTATAATTGTTTATCATATCACAAAATATTTTGAAATAATTTAAAATTTATTGGTACAATTGCAGTTCAAACAGAAGGAAATCATAACTACTATTTAAAATAAAATTAATTAAAGTAATTATATATTGAGATTGTGTTATGTGGAATTAATAAAGAAAATCCATAAAAGTTGAAGGTAAAATGCTTGTGTGCAAGTGGTCAATTTCAAGAATAAACGATTTAAATTCTTGTACGAATTACTTCACTTATGTCAATAATTTTATGATGATAATTTATAAAATTATTATTTGCACTATTTTTATTAATTATAACTAGTTTGTTAAATCTTTAATTATTAATAATTTGTTTGACCCACATAGTTTATTGTAAATTAAATATTTCACATGTACTGCTCACAAAAAATGTTGTTCAACGTTGTACTCTAAATTAATTAAGAATATTTGTGTTCATCTCTTTGGGAAACGTCAAAAACACATTAAGCTAAACATAATAAATTTTCACAAAATATTTGAACAATTCAAATTTCATATGAAAAGTTTAGTAACAGGACCACTATTCCAACAAAAAAAAGAAAGTAAGTAAAAAAGTAAGATGGTGCTTTAGCCATTCAATGGATCATAAAGTGGACACCATCAACCGTTTTTTTTTTATAAATTCGCATAATTCAAAACACAGACACATGTCAATATACAAACAACCAGCGTTCTTTTAGTTTAACTGTTTTAATTTTATTTAACTAGAAATTTTCGGAGTAAACGAGATTTTTTAACTTTATTAAAACGATCGTGCATGCTATTCGTGCTTTACTTTTGTTAAAGTATATAAACACCAATTTACATCTATAGGGTGATTGAGAAAGGTATACAACAACACATACCATTGGTTAAATAGTCAAAAATGTGTAAATTTTTTATTCTGGACTAAATGCCAAATCTGAGAGTTTAATGAATTTTTACGAAATTTCTACTTGTTCAAGTTTTCTTTGCTTATAACTTTTATTCCGAAAAAGATAGGAGCTTCAAATAAACAGCTTTTTAAACTTTAGAAATAATTAAATTTTTTCCTTATTTTTTATTTTTTTTTATTTTCTCTAATCCGATAATTTCGTACGAAATCTTTTATTATATAGAAGATACAGTACAAAAACCATTTCTGTATCAAAACCTTAAAGGTCCTAGTAAAATGTAAAAAATTAAAAAATTTTCACTTTTTTTGATTTGTATTGATTGTAAGTACTGTTATTATTAACTATTATTAATTTTTGATTACAATGGTCACTCTGATGGTCACTTTAATATTTTTATTGAAATATTTTTGTTTCAAACGTAAAATTATTAAAACAATATTTTTCGGCAGCATTAGTACTTGAAAACTGAGTTTTCATCGCCGGAGATAACTAACGGAATTTCTCGAAATTTGAAACTTAAGTACACAGTGCGTTCATTTATGTTGTGTTGACCACTTCAGATTTTTTTTCACTAATAAATTTCACCATAATATTAATATTAAATTTTAATTATTTGTCGTAAATTTCTCAAAATATAAATTATATAATTTTCGAAACAAATTTTAAATATTAAAACTGTAACAATTCAGAAGTTTTTGAACATTGAAGTAAAATAATTCGAAACTATCCACTTTTCATCTTCAACTAGAAAAAATTTTGATTTTTCACTCTTACTCGTATTTTCATTAATACCTGATATAAAAAATATTCACCGAAATAAATTTAGTTTTCATACCAGTTCGATTAGAAAATTTTATTAAGCTTCCTAAAAAAGGATAACCAAATGATCCACCCAATTTCCATGTTAAATAATAAGAATGCCTTTGCTTCCAAATGTATATCGACAATAATGTTGTTACTAGTAGAAAAAGTTGATAAAACATTTTAACTCTATATTTTAATTTGAATGAAACAAATTTTTTTTCGAATTATTTCCCTCCGCAATTTTTTTTTTTGTTCTAAATGTTTGCCAAATGAATTTTTTATTAAAACTGTGATATGCTAGCTTAAATCTTAACTTATTTAAAGACCTTTCAGAGAAATTTAAGTTAAATACAAATTATTGATAATAAGCTTTAGTATAAAGTAGAAGCTTTAATAACATGTTAGAATAAATTAATAAGAGCAATAAAGTAAACAAAGATCGAGCAATACAATAAATGTTTGATGTCTCATTTCTCATGTTATAGTTAAAGATATTTTGTCGTAATCTTCTTTATAGTTCTTTCAAAAATTTCTTCATATTTGAATATTGTTTATTACAGAACTATAAATATATTTGATTTTTCATATTCAAAAGACATTCTTTAGCATACAAATCATTACGAGTATAATCTTATAATCTTTCTAGCTTTGTTAAGTACACTAACAATTTAATGCATAAACTTACACTTTCTATAGTTGTGCTATATATATATGTGCTGATTTATCTCTAGATGGCGTATAAATATTTAATTTTTCGTGGCATCGAATTGAATTTTGGTGTTCCATTCAATCATATATATTATTTCTGTAAGATGATTGATTGCCTCTTCCATGTTTAATATAAACAATTATTGCTAGATTATTTGAATTTGCCTGTCGTGCATAAATTCAACAAATTGGTGATTTAAGACACTTACCCAAAAATAATGTTGAATTATCCCAAAGTTGATTTCAAAGTGTTTATTTTTTATTTTTTAATTCTTCGAATTCCGTAACAGTATTTCTGCCAGAAAAATAATTTGCAAACAAATCGAACTCTATTAACTTTATTGCCTTTTTGTAAAGTTTCCTAAGTTCTACTTTTCAATTTCTACTTTCCTTTTTTACAAGGTTTCCGGTAATTTATCCGGTAAGTTGCTGTCGAAGAACGCTATATCTTTGAGATCGCTAAATTTGGTTGGTATTTGGTAATCCATCGTTTCTTTACAATTTTTAATTGCATCTGTAGAAAATTTATTAATTTGTGATCAATTCTATTTTTAGTAAGTTTCTTGTTCTATTTCTTCCAATCAACTCAGGCCACGGAAAATTTTTTACTAATTTTGACTTTTTACGACGGTAACACTATTAATGCTTCTTTCATCTCATTCACGATTTTTTTTTCAAAGTTGTCAGTATTTGTTTTGTATAATAAGCTTTTAACTAGATCGTTTCAATATTTTCATTTTTTATGAGTTGGTTGTTGTTGTTGTTCTTTTAATATTCTAATTAATTATCCTCTTCTATGATTATGATGCAATTATTAGCAAGTATTTTCATTTGCTTTAGTCGTTATGGTAAGTCTTCAAAAAAAAATTTAATCATATTATGTGAAACGTAGTCTCAAATTTCTATATTTTTCAAATTTCGCTTGAACAAGTTGTACATATGTAAATAAAATGTTTATTATGATATTAATGCAAGGTTTACTATGATGAGATGTCTCCAAATGCGTCTTAATAAAAGGACGAAAATAAATAAAAATACATCTTGCAAAAGTATTTTTTTTTGGAGAAGCTCTTAAATCCGGAATTTTTTTTGCCAAATTTGTTTTTATAAAACTTTTTTTTATAACAGAATATTTTTAGAAATATTGAAGAATTCAATAATTCAAACTTTTTTCTGTCATCGATATTTTGTTTTTTCTTTTCTTACCGAATACCATAAGCAAGGTATTGAATTCAAAGCTTCAAAGCTTTATATTCAAGTCAAAGTTTGTAGAAATCTAAAGTTTCTTTTAGAAAACGTTGACTTGCAGTAACATTTTTAAGAAAATAATTAGGAAATAGTTTGTAACTGTAAGATATAATGGTCTGAGACATAGACGGACTTTGTCCGCTCCAACGATAACCCAAAAACTAATTGAATCAAATTCACAAAACTTTCACAAATGATTTATCATAATAAATGCCAGAGCCCTATTTAAATTGAATATGATCGAGGTACTGATTTGGGTAGCTGTCCTTTCATACAACTTCAAAATTTATTTGGTTATATCTCAGAAATTTTAAAAGCTATGGTATTGCAATTTTGCACAAGTGAATATATTATTAGGGCCATTGCGCTTAAAAGTTGTTTGGCTCCCTCTGGTAGCTGCCATACAACTCTAGAACTTATTTGGCAGAAATTATTGAAATTATAATATATAGAAACTTCATGAAAACAAGTGTATTATTAGGGCTGTTGTGTGTGGTAAAAATCATTGAAATTTCTTGACCCCTTGTTCTCTAGCTACCACACAACTTCATTAGTAGCTTGGCTATACCCTAGAAAATATTGAAATCACGGCAACTTAAAGTGATAGTCTGTCTCATAATCAGCCGTGGCATATTTACTCGCACATAGGATAACAAATTCGTGCGGGTATCACAGTTGACACGATCAACTCTTTTTATACCCGTACGAACGTATGTTCGAAGGGTATACTAAATTTGCCTTACCGTTTGTAACGTTGAGAAATAACGGTCTTAGATATAGACTCAAGTGTATGTTTTTGATCAGCATCGAGTTCTGAGTTGATTTAGCTTTGTCTGTCCGTCCGTCCGTCCGTCCGTCCGAACGATAACTCAAAAACTAATTGAGCTAAGTTCACCAAATTTTCACAAATGATTTATTATAGTAAGTGCCAAAACCCTATTTAAATTGGACATGATCAGGGTACCGGTTCGGGTAGCTGCCATACAACTTCAAAATTTATTTAGCTATATCTCAGAAACTATAAAAGTTGTGGTATTGAAATTTCACACAAACGAATATATTATTAGGGCCAATGTGTCTCATAAAAGCCGTTAAAATTACTTGGTTCCTTCTGGTACCTGCCATACAACTTCAAAAGTTATTTGGATATATCTCAGAAACTATAAAAGCTATGGTATTGAAATTTCACACAAACGAATATATTAGTAGGGCCAATGTGTCTCATAAAGGTCGTTGAAATTACTTGGCTCCTTCTGGTATCTGCCATACAACTTCAAAAGTTATTTGGCTATATCTCGGAAACTATAAAAGCTGTGATATTGAGATTTCACACAAGTGAATATATTAGTAGGGCCGATTAGCTTGATAAAATTCGCTAAAATTTCTTGGTTCTTTCTGGTAGCTGCCATACAACTTCAAAAGTTATTTGGATATATCTCAGAAACTATAAAAGCTATGGTATTGAAATTTCGCACAAATGAATATATTAATAGGGCCGATGTGCTTGATAAAATTCGTTAAAATTTCTTGGCACTTTCCGATAGCTGCCATACAACTTCAATAGTAGTTTGGCACACACAGTATTTTGAAAAACACAGTACTGAAATTTTGCATAAATTAATATACGGCAACATAAAGTCATAGTCTGTCCCATAGTCAGTTATGGCATCTTTATTCGCACATATGACAACAAATTCGTACGGGTATCACAGAGTTGACATGGTCAACTCTATTTTTTTTCTCGTTTTCTTCTCATTTCACTTATAAATTTAACCATTCAAATAAAACAATTAATAAAAAAAAATAATTTTTTTTGTTAGTTGTTTTTAAGTTTTTTGTAATTAATTTTAAATTTTCTCAATATTATTGATGTGCAAACCTTGAAACAATTTTTTTTTTAAATATACTAGTTATTTCATATGGATATATATGTATATGATAGTATTATTTATAAATAGACATAAACAGCTTTATATAAATAGTATGGTTATATAGCATTATTATAAATAATTAAAATTGCGTTTTATTCACAAAACAAAATATTTTGTCATAGTTTTATTGGTATATATTATAAAAACTTGCAAGACTCGTTCTTATAATAATCTTAAATTTTGACTTATAATATCGTATATCTCACTGCGTATGTATAATTGTCGCATTTCATTAGATTTATGATTTGAAATTTTAACAATTTTTAGTTTGTACGTTTTTTGCAGATATTGAGGCAATAATTGCAAACAGAATTTCTTTGAACGCTTCTTTGGTATAAAATATAAGACTTCTTATGTCTAACACTACGTCATACATCTTGTATCTAACAATTTACGATTTTTACGTAATAACGACTTCGTTAATAATTTTTCATTATTTACGAAGTTTTATTAATACTCGTAATACGGAAAAAAAAATTTGTCAAAATATTGAACTTTTCCAGAGATTGGAAAAGTTCAATATTTGCTGTGCTCTGCATTTTGCAGAGCACAGTTCCAATTTATTTTGATCCAATATAATATTATTGAGAATTAAAATTTTTATTTAATATTAATCAATTTAAACTTGTAATTATAAGAACTAGCTATTTTAATAATTATAGTATATTACTATTTATGTAGCTTTTATTGTACCATTTAAAAATTGTTCTTAATAACATTTTCTGTTATAATATAATTATAACAGAAAATGCTTTTAAAATATATAGATAAAATTACTAAAGTTTTATATTAGAACAAGACCTAGGACAACTAGTGTCATATTATACTAGTCCAATAATTATATATGAAAGCATAATAAAATTCTGTTTAAAAATTTCTATTCCAATTTACATTATTTATAGTGTACGTAGTATTAGCAATATTTACGTTTTGTAAAATATTTCACTGTTTGCACTTTTCATTCAACTGTTGTTTATCGTATATTCTTTTCAAGCGATTTAATATTAGTGAGACCAGGTTAATTAAATGTACTCATTTCATACATTCATACATATGTTTATGTACACATTGAACTAATTCAACACATTTTGATAATATTCTTGTTTTCAGTTTTAAAATATAAATTTTAAAAATATTTCAAAATAACATTAATAACATGAATTTTTTTAATTATTAGGTACACATTTTTAATTCCAAAAATTTATTTAATTTCTTCAAATTTATAACTTCTAAGCATAAGGAATTTTTACTCATTGATAATCAAATTTTCATACCAGTTTGATTTTTAAATTTTAGTAAGCATCCTAAGAAAGGAAATCCAAATGATCCACCCAATTTCCATGTTAAATAATAAGAAT